GATACGAAAAAAAAAAAAAAAAAAAAAAAAAAAGAAAAAGAAAAAGAAAAAGAAAAATTAATATCTTTTAATATATTTGTTTTATTTTAAAAATTAAATTTAAAAAAAAAAAAATTGTTATATAAAAAGTTAATTATTAAACCACTCCTTAGCTTTTAAAAAAACTTCATTGCCAGCTGCAACAATATTTGATAACCCTTCCCTTGCTGTTAATTTTAAACCTTGTAAATTTTGAAATGTTTGTTCATCTAAATTCCATACTCCCTTTTTATTTACATTTTTATTAAAATATTGATCGGAAGATATGCTATTTGTTATAGGCACATTTGATATAACCTCTTCGTTTCGTTGATTTTCATCATAAAAATATTGATCAGAACGGATACTCTTAGAATCTTTAAATTTATTTAATTTTGTATCAGTAGTTACATTTAAATTATTATTATTGTTATTATTACTCTTACTATATATATTCAAATTTTTTTTATTTTCCATTATATTATTATTATTAAAGTTTTTATCACAATAATTATATCTATTATCATTTCCTTTTTCATCGAATTTTTTTTCTATATTATTATCATATATTTTAAGTAAATTATCTGAATTATCAATGTTTTTATTTTCTAATATATTTTTTCTAGACACATTATCTATAATTCCATTGTCTTCAAAAATTGTATCATCAAAATTTATATCAATTTTTTTAGCTTTAAAGTTTTTATTGCAATTATTAAATACCATTTTTTCTTCTATAAAATGAGTTGGCACAAAATTATTCATATCTCCTTTTTTAACATTATTAAAACTAAAAAAAGAGTTACTAAATTCTTTTTTATTATCATCTATTTCCTCATTTATAATTTCCTCATTTTTCCTGTTATCATCAATTAAATCATTTGGTTGATTGTTACTTACATTAATTATATTATTAGTATTATTATCAGGTTCAATATTCTTAGTATTTTCATTACTATATTTTATTAAAGTTTCTTCTAATAAATTGTCTAAATACATTTTATATTTTAGTGAATTACTTGAAGAATAATCTAATATGCTATCTTTATTTCTTTTTAAAAATTCACTTGCCTTTAAATTACCTCCTAAGCATATTCTAACTAACTGTTTTGCAGTAAATTTATCCATTCCTGTTGAACGCACAAATGATATGTGTGTTCCTAACTGTCTATGTTTACCTGAACAGTTCAAGCAAATAAATATAGCATAAGTTAATGATAACCACTTAGGATTTTTGTTGCCACAATCAAAGCAATTCTTATTTTCATTTTTGCTCATAATAATTTTAAATGTTTTGTCTTTTAAAAAATCTAACACATAACCTCTATCATCCTGTTCATATTCTAATATTTCACTTATTAAATTTTTCTTCATTTTTATATACATAAAAATTAAACATAAATAAAACGTTAAATATACTATTAAAGAATGTAAACAATTTCTAATTTTTATCCATTAAAAAAAAAAAAAATATGATAAAACAATGTATTAAATATAAAAATATGTATTGATGGGGTTTTTAATTAATTCTCTATTCAACTATTTAATAAATAAAATGTACAATTACATTTACTTAATTTAATGTGCAACTATATTTAAAAACTTATTTTAAAAAAATACTACGTTCAAAACCTGATTTTTTTTTTTTTTTTTTTTTTTTTTTTTTTTTTTTTTTTTTTTTTTTTTTTTTTTTTGTGTGTGTGTTTATTTAATACATTACTTACTTATATTTTTTCCTTTTCACTGTTTTTATATATTTTTACTCATCCTTTTTAATTTTTTTTTTTTTGGAAGTTTTTTTTTATAGTTTCATTTTATTTTAACTTTATATGAAATGTAACAGTTTACATTTNAAAACTTATTTTAAAAAAATACTACGTTCAAAACCTGATTTTTTTTTTTTTTTTTTTTTTTTTTTTTTTTTTTTTTTTTTGTGTGTGTGTTTATTTAATACATTACTTACTTATATTTTTTCCTTTTCACTGTTTTTATATATTTTTACTCATCCTTTTTAATTTTTTTTTTTTTGGAAGTTTTTTTTTATAGTTTCATTTTATTTTAACTTTATATGAAATGTAACAGTTTACATTTATACAAATTTTTTTTTACTATTTTATAGAAATCCTTAATATAAATTATCAGTTCATAAATCCTACATTATAATTTTTTTTGAAATAAATCAGTGTTTAATATCTATATACATAAATGAAATTCAAATTATCGTACAAAAAGAAAGAAAAAAAAAAAAAAGTAAAATACTTTTAAAGTTATAAGATTAAATAAATATTTATATATATGCTCTTCATATAAAAATATTTTAAAAAAAAAAAAAAAAAAATGAGCATAGTTTCTCCGTCATTTAAAAAAAAAAATGTATCTAAAAATATTTTCATACATAAATTATTATATTAAAACTACAAAAAAAAAACATTAAAAAAAAAAGTAAAATAATCCATAATGCGTGCAAATTTACTTAATATAAAACAAATTATTTTAAATAAATATAATTTAGATATTGACTTTTTTTATAATTATATTTTTTAAATATTTCTTTTTATTATATATATCTTTTTATTATATACTCTTTATTGCCATTTATTAAAATATACGTTATTTCTATTAATTATTTTATTTTATGTATTTTTTTAGGATACAAATTTTTTTTAATTTATAATAAAATAATTTTTAAGACATTTAATTATATTAACACAGTATAATGAGATATTTAAAAAATGTAATAAATTTAATAACCATTTACATATGAATCTATGCAATTGAAGAAAAATAAAATATTTTGTTATAATATTGTTTAGAAGTTATATAATTATTTTTTAAAAAATTAACAGAAAAAATTTAAAACTTTTTATTAATCTAAATTGATTAAAAAATTCAAAAAAGATTTAATATGTTCATTAAATTTTTCGTTTTCAATTATCTCAATGTCGTTATGTTTTCCGTCAATAACCCAATAAGGATGAACCTTTAGTTTACACTTTTCATATAGACTCTATTAAAATATTAAAAAAAAAAATTATATTAAAATATAAATACAGATATGTAGAAAAACTTTTATGAGGTATTACAATATAATATGAATAAATATACAATTTTAAAGTGTTGTTATAAGCAAAATTATAAATCATATGTAAGAAAATTTTAAAATAACTTATTTATGAAATAATTTTTTAATTTTATATAAAAATATTTAAATATTTATATAAATTTCTCTTTTTAACTATTCCATGATAAAAGGGAACTATTTTATCCTCAGTCCCGTGAATAAAAAATATATAACAAGGTATATTCTTAATCTGATAAAATTAAAAGAACTTTGATTAATTATTTGTTTTAATTTTATTGATATATATAATAAATAAAACTCACTTTGTTAATATTACAAAATGAATCAAAAGGGAAAATAAACCTAGTTTTAAAACATATATTTAACAAAGACAATATAGCACTTTGTAAAATGATTCCTTTCACTATTCTATTGGATGCTAACTCTACAGCTGCACATGAACCTACAAAACATTAAACGAATATTTTTTTGCTTTTTAAATACACGTAATTCATTTCATTTTAGAACCTTATTTAAATATAATAAATATTATTTTTTTTTATATATTCTATTATAATTTATATATTTCATATTAAACCTATAGATTTCCCATATATAACAATGCTATCTGGTTTTATATTTAAATTATTAACCATGTAACTATATAAAAAAAAAAGTAGATTAAAATTCATAATAATAATTAAAATAATTTAAATTATAATAAATAAAAAAACTTTCTACTCATAAACTGCGTTTCCACTCAAGTACATATTTTCTTCTGATGCTATTCCTGTACTTTTTCCATATCCTTTTTTTTTTGTTTTTTTATATTAAAAAAAATAAAGAAATTAAAAAAAAAAAAAAAAAAAAAACGTATATAAAATAAATAATGAAGAGAAGATAATATGAAATTAGCTTTAAAAATACTTTAAAAAAATGTTAAAGTAAATTTTTTAAACAGTTATTTTTTTTCTTTTTTTACCAAGGTAATCATATAAAAATATATTAACATCCCATATTCTAGAAGTTTCATAAAAATAATCATATAACATATAGATGTTCTCACTATTACCGTGACAAAACAAAATTGTTAAAGGTGCATTTCTAGAATAAAAGATAAAAATGTCAATTTTTAAATTTTTATTACAAAAAATAGGAAATGAAGAGCAATTAATTTTACCTATTAATAAAATGTGCTGCAACCTTTTCATGATTTTCTGTTTCAATATAAATTAAATCTAAATCAAAATTTTCAAAAGAGCCTTCCGATGGAGCATTAAAAATAATTTTATTTAGAAAATTTCCCATATTTTTATTAAAAAGAGTTTTTTCATTTTTTTTCTTTTATGATTATTAAAACATATACACATATACAATATATTATTGTTACTTATTTCCTTTATGTCATGTTTATATTTTCTTTATTCTTTTACAAAAATTAATAAAAACTAATGCATTATAAGTTATAAAATATATTTATATGTAAATATATTAAAAAAACAGTTTATTAATCACATTACTTTTTTAATTAAATCAATATAGGTAATTTTTTAATTTAATTATTAAAAATAAAAAACAAATAAATCAGCTCTTATTATTAAAAGTTTTTCCGAAAAAAAAAAAAAGTGTAAAAATAAAATATATTTCCTAGTTTTATGTTCCAAAAAAATAAAAATATAAAAAAATAATGAAAATTAAATTTTTATATTATATATTGATGTAATGGAAATGTCAATTGAAAATTTTAATACTTAAAATTATTGCTAACAAGATAGATAATATTAAAAATGAGAATTATTTGATGGTTAAATAACTTTTTAAATAAAGCAGACAAAATATTACAAAAAAAAAATTAAAGATACACTAAGAGACTTAGTAAATATATAACTTATCAAAAATTTAAATATTACAAATATTAATAAATAGAGAAATAAAGAAATTAAAAAAAAAAAAAAAAAAAAAAAGAATCTTTCTTTATATCTTCACAATTATATGAAAAAATAAAATGAAATTTAATTTTTAACAACTTTTCCAATTTAATTATCCTAAATAAACTGCAAAAATAATTTTTATAAAAGCTTTTTTAAAATTAACAAAAAATGAAAAACTTCAAATATTTCTTTAAATAATAATAATATATAATAACCCTTTTTTTCTAATTAAAAATTTTTGTTAATTTTAACTTTTTAGTAATTTAAAATATAAAATATGTGAAAATTAAAAATTATTAGAATTAATGTGAATTATTTGATTCTTAGAAGCATTTTCACTTAAAAATGTTGTTATGAAATGTAATTATATATATATTTATCACAAATGCATAAATTACTAAAAATTAATAATTTATAAAAAAATAAAATAATTGATCATTATCCTTCTTCTACTATTTATGTTTAAGTTATTTTAAGGAATGTAACATAAAATGAAATGAAAAAAATGTGTAAATTGTTCTTAGAATATACACAAAAAAAAAAAAAAAAAAAAAATCCTAAAATATGTGTAAAATGAGAATTTAAAATTCACCTATTACTCAAGGATAATATATATATATATAAAAAAAAAAAAGGTTAATAATGTATATATTTTTAAATTAATGAAAAAAACAAATTTACAATATTTTTGCCTCAACATATTGAATTAATTTTAAAACATAACAAATGTCAAAAAGAAATATTTTAAATAAAACACTATATATATGAGAATTCAGTAGACATATTCCAATCTTTAAATTATAAAACAGAATAAGTTTTAGTATTTTGCTTAAACTATTGTTCTGTTATTATTTTTGTGTGCAAATTTTTCATGGAGGAAAATGTGTGTAAAAATAAGTTTCTAACTAATTGTCAAAAAAAAAAAAATATATAAATTAGATATATTTTACAGACATTTAAAAAGAAAAAGTGTTTTTAATTTTTAGACATAAAAATATAAATAAATTATGAGAATATTCCAGAGAAAAGAATGTTACATTTTTCTTATATACATGAATTTTATTTTTTTAACTGCATTTTTATATTTTTCTTATATGATGTGTGCACAGTTTGAAAGTGTGAAATATTTCTACAACATTCAAGCTCCCTTTTTTCCCTCTTATTTATCTTACTTTTATGTACACTAAACTAAAGCTAACATATTTCTACATAATTTCTTTCTATATATATATATTGTCTTAAAAAATATATCAAAAATTATATTTAAAAAAAAATTAAAATAATTCTTTTTGTATTAAATTATATCATAATATTGTAAAAAATTATTTTAAAAGTAATAGATTACCATTTATTCTATATAAAAATAATTCTCATTTTTTTTTTTTTTTTTTTTTTTTTGTTTTTATAATTATTCAAATATATTCTATTTACTTTTATTGCTTCTTAATCTTAGTGCATAAAAAAAAAAAAAAATCTTTTATTTTTCATTTCTAATTTAAAACTTTTTTTTTTTTATATATTTATTTGTTTTTTCATTTGATTATGCTTTGAGGCATAATGAAAAAAAACAAGTGAAAGTTAATTTTGTGAATATCTGTCATTTAATTATTTGTTTCATTTAAGAAAAAAACAGATACATAAAAATTTTAATTCAATAATAAATGTTTTTTAAATGAAATATCATAGTTAGTAAACCATTTGTAAATTATTAATTTTAAAAAAATTTATATATATAAGTATATTCTACGTAAAAACTAGGAAAATATATAAATAGATTTAAATATATAATAAAAAAAAATAAATAGAATAAATTTTATGGTGAATATGAAATCCATCCACCAAGTGAATAATATTGGAGATAGCTTTATGTATCCAAAAAATTCTGTTGATAGAACAGATACAATAAACAGAAGAAAAGATGAATATAAGATGAGTATGAATTTCCATAAGAAAACCGAAGAATCAAATAAACGTACAAAAAATAATTATGAATATTTAGATTCTACTCATTTGGAAATGTTAGATTTAAACAAAGACATTCAAAACATTTTACCAAAACCAATTAAGCCATCTATAAATTTAGAAAGTTTATGTAAAGAAACTAGCGCTACTTTAAAAAATAATAGTACATTGAAAAGTATAAAAAAGGTAGAAGAACAACAAAAAAATATAAAACATTTTTATGAATTGGGATCCCCTCAAATTATAGGTACATATATTCAGCCATTAAATAAAAATCAAAATAATAGTGTAAAAGATGATAATTTGGAAAACAATAGTTTCCCTTTAGCACCATCGTCTCCATTCTTTCAACCACCAAAATTTTCTACGAAACTAACTCAACCAACTAATCAGTTCTTATCTACCAATATAAATAAAAGTACAAATATATATGGCTTACCATCTTATTTAATTCCTGAAAATAAGCCTCATCGCTTAAATGTTACAGTTGTACCTAACAAAGATAAAGATATTTTGGAAAAAGAAGCAAAACATTTAAAGTTGTTATTAGATAATTCATCTCAAGGTATTGTTAATTCTACACCTGATTATCAAAAAATCATTGATTCTAATTTGTCAAATAATAATGATAAAGAAAGTGACTTCAGCTTTGGAAAGCATGAAAATTTGGAAAATATGCAAGATGAATATAGCTACGAAAATATTACAGACAATAATTACAACGATTCATTGATTAATGAATTTTATGATACTAATAATTGTACCTGTTATAGCCAAATGAATGAACTAATTAATCATTCAAATTATAACAATGAAAATGATTTTCATTTATTGTCAAATGAACAATTAAAAAAAGTAAATAAAGAATTGAACCAACCAAAGGATAATGTAAATAATTTAAATAAATCAAATGAAAAAGAAAAAGATATAAAAAATAATTCGTTATCAAAAAAAACAGAATCAATAAAAAAAAAGGAGTCTATTTCTTTGTCAAAAAAACATGAGCCATCAATATGCTTTAAAAACCCTAAGACATATATAAATATACGTTTAGGAAGACCAAAAAAACTTTATATAACTAACAGTTCTGATCCAATTGATAAAAAATTAAGAGATTGGCATAACACACATAATAGTCAAATAGGATGGAAAAAAAATAGAAGAGGTGTTTATACCTTTGGAAAAACAGAAGTTGTTTTAAATTTAGCTCACGATAAAATTATAGTAAAGAAAATTAATGGAAAAGATATTAAAGATAATCTGTTAACTGTTGAAAAATTTGTTTCATTAAATGAATTATATGAGCTTCAACAAGAAGAAAATGATAATGAATTAAAAATAAAAAACAAGAAAAATTCTCAGTTTTTCTAAAAATATAATAATTATGTAATTTTTAATTTACATTTATTCATGTTCCATTTTTGTTTCAACTATATTTTGTGTTCATGTTGTTCCTATTTTTTTTTTTTTTTTTTTGTCTTTTTTTTTTTTTTTTTACGCACTTTCAGGATATTGTCAAAGTAATTTGTTTTTAATTTTTATTGATTACAAATAATTCATTAAAATATACATATATATATAATTTGTCATTTAATAATCTTAATTATAACTATATATTTATAAATTTTTATGCATAAAAATAGAATTTTGTAAAAATAATATAACAATATGTGTATATACATTATGAATAAATTTGGAAATCATATTTTTTTTTCATAATTTTGAAATTTTCTAATAAATATTTATATAAACGTATTTATTTGCATTAAACAATGGAAAAAAAAAAATTGTATCTAAACTTTAAATTTTTTAGTTAATTGATTCATTTTTAATTTAATATTTAAAAGTACATTCATCAATAAATATATATATATGGAAATTGAGAATTATAATATAAATATATATTAATAATTTCATCATTTTTATATAATATTTAATGATTTATAATGCTTTTATTTGCTAGCAGAAATAAAAATATATATAAAATTAAAATTATAATATTTTTTATTTTATTTTAAATTTATTTAAAAATACTGCAAGTTTATAAAAATTCCAAACTGTTCTATAAAAAATGGGAGTCATTAATAGTAAAGAATTCTGTTATACTATTTTTCTTATTTTTTATTTTATAATAATAATTTAATAATTAGATTAATACAGTTAAAAACTTTATTGTACTTAGATTTTAAATAAATATCCCTTTGTAAGTAGAAATTCCAAAAAAGCTTCTTATTATGTTTTAAAAAAAAACAAAAAAAATTTCACGTAATATAAATATTCTTTATAAGCATATAATGAATGAAGTAATCTTAATTACATATACTTATTTGAAAAAAAATGGTTAATACAGTTAAAACGTTAATGATAAATTGATTAAAATATAAAAAGTGAAACTTTTACTTTAGTGAGTAATGGAAAAATAAAAAACCTAAAAAAAAAAATAAAAGAAAAGATAAATACACTAAAAATATTTCGTCTATTAATAATTATGCATAACTATAATTTATGAAAAATATAAAAATAACCATAAATATAAGAACTATAATGTTATATAAATCCTAATAGATGCCTTAAATGCTCTAAAAATATTGACATTAAAATATGTTTTTATAAGGATATTACTAATAATTATTAAAGAAAATAATTAACAAATTAATGTTTATGAATAACATTTAAATACCATTAAAAACAATCCTAACAACTATTATGATAAGATTCTATTTTATTTACATTTTTGCAAAAATTATTTTTATTATCGTATGTTCCATTATCTAAAGGTTAACAAATATGAATTTCATTTTTTTACATAAAAAAAAATGTGTTCAAATATTTATGCATTATGAAATATAATTTTATAAAAACTACAAATTTTTATGAATCTTATTTAAAAAATCATGAAAGTATTGCTTCTCATAAAAAGTATATTTTTCTTTGTTAAATGTGTTTCTGATAAAATATTATAATATATTTGTATTATTATTATTCAACATAAATAAAATTATATATTATTTTTTTTTTTTAAAAATAAAATAAATTTTTATATTTTTTACTCTCTTTTTTTTCTTTATTTAAATACAAAAAATATTTTAATTCACAAGAACATATATGATCCTCTACCTGAAAATACTGAGTTATGATATCCCACTGTTTAATAGGAAAAGATGAAAAAAAGTTAATATTTTCTAAGAATTTTATTAAAATAATATTTGTTCTCTTAATTATAAAAAAATATTATTGAGCATCGCCGAAATATAGTTTTATATATGCGACATTTGCGAGCATGCTATTTCATGTATATTAGTAAAATCTATAAAATTTTGCTATATTTTTTATAATTTCATATGTTCAAATAATATTGAAATTTATAAAAAAGTGAATTAAAAATTTTATTTTTTAAATTCATTTTTTTTTTTTTTTTTTTTTTTTTTTTTTGAGCACTCCCATTATCAGTAGAAAAAATCTATCTTCATATTTTTTANAAAAAATTTTTTTTTTTAAATTTTTTTTTTTTTTTTTTTTTTTTTTTTTTTTTTTTTTTGAGCACTCCCATTATCAGTAGAAAAAATCTATCTTCATATTTTTTACATTTGAATTTTCATTAAAAAAAAATAATATATAAGCTACTAATAAGTTTACAACATGCCATTTATAGAATAAATAAATCTGATAATAAAATTTATTTTTTTATAGTGTGTAAAAATAAAAAACAAAAAAAAACACGTAAATTATGTTTTATTTTAATATTAACGATAAATATTATTTTTATAAATATTAGCTAACATGTATTTTTTTTTCCCTAAATTTTTAATCAAAAAATTTGGAGCATTTTTTATGAACATAATTGGGTACGAACATAAAAATGAACCCATGTAATTCTTTTTAAATATTTAATAGTCTCTTAATTGCTATGAATTCTGCACAATGATAATAAAACCCAAATAAAACAAAAAAAAGGAATATTTTATTAGCTCATTGCATGTACAAAATTATTTTTTCTAATACAAAACTTTTTTTAGCTAGCTAATTAACTTTTTACAACTATTTTTTAATGTTTTTATGATAAAATTTATTCTATTTTTTTTTTTTATATTTAAAATAATTTTCAAAAGTTTAAAAAAAAGTATTTATTTGTTTAAAAATTATCTTTTAAAAATTGTATTAAAATTTTAATTTTAAATTTTATAATTTTGAAGTTTTAAAGATTATATTAAATTTTTAGTTTTAAAGATTTGTTCTCTTTTTTTTTTTTAAAATATATTTTTTCCACTCTTTAAGCCTTTATTTTAAAAAGTATTTTGTATATAGTTATAAAGTAAAATATATCACAATAAACTCTTAAACAAGATTAAAGATGGAATTCAACGGTTTTGTACCTCCACATCCAAACTCTCCTATACCTTCAGGATTGAAAATACTACCAGGAAACCCAAAAGTTAACATACCACCACCAGTTTATTATGAATTAAGTCCAATAATAAATGAAGATTCTTTTCAAATGAATATAGGAGGAGAAGTTCCTTCCTCTTGGACAATTAACCAAATAGCACATTATGTTCAATTTGCTGGACCAGATGACAGTGTTTTTACTGAAAAAGCGAAAATTTTATTGCGTGCAAAAGGATACGCTGTATAAATTAATAGATAAATCAAGAAATTAAATATACTTATATTCATAGCACAATTATTAATTCATGAAAAGTGATCAATATTAATTTTTTTGCACGAACGTTCAATGGAGAATTTTTTATTAAAATTATATTTTCAAAAGTTTTAAATATAATATGTAATTTTCCAAGCGTAAGACTAAATTTTAAATAAATATGATATACAGAATATACTCTTTTTACTTTTAATTCTTATTTAATTTTTTTTTTTTCCATCCTTATATATTACATACGCTTTTTACAGCAAGTAAAATTACAATTTTTTTCTTTTAATTTTCATAAAAAAATATATTTTTTAATATTTTGTGTTTATAATTTAAAATTTTCGGTTTTTTTTTTTTTGTTTTTTTTTTTTTTTTTTTTTTGTTTTACGCTTTTTATGAATGATTTTAGAATATTTGATTATTTGAACTTCTTTAATTCAATTTTTAAGATCTAAAAATAATAAAATTAAAAATGAATACTTTCTAAACCGAACGATTTTTTTTGCAATATCTTTAAATATTTTTATAATTAAGAAAATACTTATCATTAAATCGTATAATAATACATATGTTTTTTTTTAAATTAATGTATTTCTATAATATAATTTTTATTCCAAAATCTTAACTTACTTTTTTTTGTATTTGCATATTATAAAATTTACTACAAAACTTATGAAGAGTAAAGTTATTTTAATTAAAAATTTTAATAATTATATTTTTTTCTTAAAACAGTTTATTATGATATTTTTTGAGATTTTATCAAATTTAAGTATTAAAAATGCTTGAAAAATTACAATGACAAATTTTTATTTTTAAAATAAATATTTACTTAGTATTAGAAGTAAATATTTAAGAAGTGTGTAATATTAGCTATTATTATTAAGAAGTATGAGTTATTTATAATTTCAAACATACAACACTTGTTAAATCTTTGTTTAAACTATTAGATCATTATTATTTTTATTAAAATTTTTTTTTTCATAGAGAAAATTTATACATTTAATTATAAAATAATTTGATTTCTATAAACATTTTTTCCCTTAAAAATTCAAATTTTTAAGATAAATATTAAGATATCTTCTAATTAGAAGCCTTAAAGATCCATAGTACCCTATGATTTTCAATATCGTAATTGAAATTTTTTTATTTTTTAATGAAATACATAATCAAAATTTAATACATGTTAATACAAAAATATAATAATAAGATAATGAAGAAATAGAAGGGAGTTAAAAATAAAATAATAGTAATAGGAGTTTCTTTTGAAAAACATATTTATGTGTATACATATATTCATATTTATTTTTTTATATTAATATCGTGAAATACTAAAAGGATTTAAATTAAAAAACATATAACAAATTAAAAGATAACACTTTATCTATAGGTTTTCTTAGGATGGAAATAAAAATTTTACGCAACTCAAATAATATTTATTGCTTTATTTTTAAAATAAAATTTCACAAAATCTAAACTAATTTTAAAAATATTCATAAAATATGTTTAACAGACAAAAAAAAAAATTAAATAATTAAATAATTAACATTAAAAATGAATTATATTATAAATTAATAAATATTTAGAAATTAAATTCTTCAAATGGATATGATGGTGTTTTTTTTAAATACGACAATGAATTAATTTCCAATTGACTAGCTAATGGTTTAGGTATTTTATCTTGTTTTTTTGGTGATTTAGGTGCTTCATATAAATTAGTATCCTCTTTACTAATTTTAAAATTTCTCTCAATTTTTTGTTTAATATTTAAAGCATCATTAAATTTTTTTATTAAGTTAAATTTATTATCATTTTTCAAATTTTTGTCATATGTATTTTTTCTCATATTACACTTCAATTTTCTTTGATTCATACTTGATATTTTCTTATTTGTACTATTTATAGATTGAATTTTTTTTTTATCCAAAACTTTAGTTAAACATTTTTTTAATAAATATTTATTTCTTAAATCATTTAATTTATGAAATTTTTCCTCTAAAATATTAGATTCATAGCTCTCACTAAAAATATATTCTTTTGACAAACTACAGCTACTTGATAAAACATTGCTCATATACTTAAAACTATAAAAATCATTATTATTTTTACAAAATTGCAAATCAAACTTTTTAAAATTACATTTCATTGAATTTTCTGGAAATTTTCCACTACCATTTTCAAAATAGTTATCTTTATCTACATTAAAAAAATAATTATTATTAATATAAATTACCTTTTTATTATCCAAATTATTTTTTTCTATATCGGATGTATATATTTTATTATGAATATTTATTTTACTAGGATTAGTATACATACTTAAAATGCTTCCTAATTTATTTTTCATATTTTTATTTAATTTTTCATCATATTCAATTTTATTTACTTCATTTTCTTTGTTTTGTTGTTTATCTGCTTTTTTTGATCTGTCAATTACGTTATTATATTTAATATTTTCATCCTTATTTTGGTTAAAATGTATTTTATTATTTAAATAATGAATATCTAATTTATTTTTTCTAAATAAATAATCTTTATTATTATTTAGATTTAATTCATTAGAAAATGTTGTTTTACTGACAGATATGGATGTATTATCACTCCAACTGTTTATAGAATCACTTTCGTCTTTTTTAGAAATATGTATATTTTCTCTCCTAAAATCATCATTATATTTCTTAATATTACTATAGTTAATTTCTGTTAATTCACTTTTGATTTGGTAATTTTCACAGTTTCTTGTTCCACATTCACAATTTTTAATAAAAGAATTAAAGATATTATTTTGTAGAGTACTACTTTTACCATTATTATTCTTATCACTACCAATATTATCATTAATCTTATTATCAGAATAGCTGTTATAACTTTTATTTATACATTTTTTGTTGCCATCATCATTTCCTATTTCATTTAAAGTTTTCATAATGTTATCCTCTTTTTTTAGGGAAATTTCATTTGTATCTTTTTTATGAATACATTTTAAATTCAATGAATTTTTATTATTAAAATATTTATTTTTTAAATTATCATTGAAAATAGTTTCTTCTTTATTTTTAACTTCTTTATATTTTTTGTCTTTGTTTATGTCTAATATTTGATCATAAACAATATTGTTAATATTTTTTTTTTCATAAACTTGTTCAACTTGTCCAAAATGTGAATAATCACTTTTAATTTTATTTTCATCCATTACATTTTCTTCCATATAATTATTCCTTTTTATTTGTTTTAATAATTTTATGTTATTACTTTTTTGTTTTTCATCGATAGTTAAAGATTTTATTTCTATATTATAATTTTGTGCACATGTATTGTCATTAGTTTCTTCATGTACTTCTTTAAGATTCCCTTTTTTTGTATCAATTTCACTGCCTTTATTATTAATAAAATTAACACCCGCTTTAAAATAATCAACATCTGTATAGAAAAATTTTTTTTTAAGTTCTTTGTCATAATAATTTTTTATTTTTCCATTTTCTTTTCTTTTCTTAGTTTCATCATCTAATGCAGCTGATTTTTGAATCTTATTTTTTTGTATATTTGAAACTGAAGTCATATCATTTATAAGCTTGTTTTTGAATTCATCGATATTAACATTATTAATTGTTTTCGTTTTTTTCATACTTTTTTTATATACATTTAATAAATTCATACTTTTCTTTATAGAAGCAAGATTATTTTTAAGCACATCTTTAAAGTGATTTTTATTGTTAATGAAGTCTCCTGTAGATTCATTAACAACTCTTTTTTCTTTTTCCTTCTGTATTAATATACATGATATATTTTTATTTGTTCCTTCATTATTTTCAAGATAGAAATTTTTTCTCTCTATTAATCTTCCATTTAGTTCGTCTATTAACCTTCGTGAACTCATTTCTTTGTTTAAATTTATAGATTTATTTTCTTTCTTAACATTATATTTTGATAAGTGTTTCTCATTACTATAATTTTTACTAACCCTATTTTCATAATTATCATCACAAGAATTGAAATTTTTCGTAATTCCATCGTTCTTATTACCATCAACATAATCATTAGTAATTATGATGTTTATATTGTCACTTTCACAATTTTCATTTCTTTTTTTCTCTTTTAAGAGATTATTAAAATGGAAATCCTTTTTGTATAAAGGAATTACATTTTCTTCAGCGTCACCATCAATTTTATGCAAAGGATGTAACTTATTCTTATCATTAAAATCCATGTTTTCATTTACCTTATTATCAAAGATAATTTCCAAGTAATTTTTTGAGTTTTTATGGGAATTCTTAAAATTTTTAAAATACATATCTTTAGAGATAGAATCGCACATTAATTTGTTATTTTTTTTATCGTTTTGAAAGAAACTATATACATTTTTTGAGTTTTTCTTATCTTCATTAATATGTAAAATTATGTCATTCATTTTTGTTCTTTCTTTAACATGGCTTAAAATGTCAAATCCTTTATTATTAAGTGAACTAGACGTGTTCAGAAGTTTGCAATTTTCATTAATCTGTGTAATATGATTAATATTATTCTCTAAATTTTTCTCCTTTAATTTATTTTTTCTTAAAGAAAAACTATTTCTAAATTTGGTATTATATATATTTTTTGTATTGTTTTGTTCTTTTTGTGATTCTTTTCTATTTTTATCTACTCCATTTATAACACATGACTGTGATATGCTATATAATTCATTTTCATCATTCAAATTAATTATGCAATCACTCATAAAATCTTCCCTGTCATTATCATACATGTAAATGTTGATATTATCATAATTATTATTTTCATCATTCAAATTATATAAATCATTGGATTTAAGATGTTCACAAGCAAAATATGAAATGTTATTTCGAAAATGTCTTTTTATATGTATTATCATATTTTCTGGTTTATATTTCGATAATATAATGTCATGTTTTAAAATGTTCATATCTTCTGAATTTTTATTAATACAACTTTCTTCGTCTCTTTTACAATCTTTTGATTTTTCTTTGGAATAATCATCTACAAATATATACACATCATCATTAAATGATAAAGATTCATTTTTATTATGATTTAAAGAGTTACTAAATATTATACTACTATTTTTAATTGTTTTTATGTTTTCAAAGCTTTCATTACTGTACGTATTATTTCTTAATTTATTACTGTTTATCTTGAGAATATTATTTTTTACATCATATGTTTTATTATTGTCGTGTAAATTGATATCATAAATATCTTCTCTAAGTTGTGCATCTTCTTTCAGTTTATTTTTTAAGATTTTGTTGTTTAAGTTGTATTCATAATGCATATTTGAATTTTTAACTACACATCTCATATAATTAAATCTTTTTGAGCAGAAATTGCACAAATGAAAACATTTTTTCAGATTACTTTTTGCCTCAAGTAACCAACTGTAATTGTTTTCATACTTTTTGCATTCAAAATGCTTTATTTCTCTTGGTTTAGCTGGTGGGGGATCTGGCAATGATTTAACATGCTTACTGAAAGGATAAGGATAAATTCTAATCATTTTTTGTAGAAGGCATTTCTTTAAATATTAAAATAATAAAAATACAAAATTAAACATGTATTAATTTAATTATGTGTATTATATAAAAATGTCACTTATTTTTTAATATTTTCAACTTTTACATGGTTTGTATTTTAAAGAAAATTAATTTAAAATGTATAATAAATTATTATTTAAAATGTAATTTAAACATTTTTTTTATACTTTATTTTTCTACAACACAATGTTGTTAAAATTTTATATAATTTATAAAAAGTTAACAAATGAAATAAATGAAAATTAAAATTTTTAATATTTTTACTCATAAATATAAGTGTTTATATTTTAAATTTAACTCAAAAATAATATATTTGTAAATAATTGTTATTTACTTTATTAAATGAAAGTTTCCTCCCCCAAAAAAAAAGTAAACAATAAAAAATAAAACTTATTCACTAATTTCTCCTTTAGATGTGAAATTTCCATTAACATGCAAGAATAAATGATAAGAATAGTAAAATTTTCAATATAAATCATAAAATTTATATGAACATATTACTGTTTAAGTTATTGATTGAATAGTACATTTTTTTTTTCTTTTTTTTTTTTTTGAGAAAATCATGCCTCGTGTGTGTAAAATATTTACTAGAAAAAAAAACATCATAAAAAACGAAATTCTTTATTAGAAAAGAATGGAAATTTTTTCATAAGTTACTATTATAATAAAAAAAAAAAAAAAGCAAATATAGTGGCTTCCTTACGTTTTTTAAAAAATAAAAACTTAATCTAGAACAAATATTTAATATATAATTCTTTTTTTTGAGGTTAGAGGTTTAAACTGTAAAAAAAAGTATTCAGAAAATGGTATACGATATAAAAGGTTTTTTTTTTCTATATATTATTATCATTCTAGATAAAAAAATTACAAAAAGTAAATGTATTTCTTATAAGTATGTATTTTACATTATTTATAATATTCTTAATTCATAATTGCTTTAAACATACATAAAAATATTAGTGAACATAAAAAAAGAATCGAAATTAAGGTACAAATGCACACATTTGCACTTATTTTTTAAGTTGCTTTTTAAATTACTTTTTCACAAGTAGATACAATCATTAATACAAATAAAAATTTTCTATCCCAAGGAAAATTTAAAAGAATAAATATAACTTTATTTTATTGATGAATCAATTTAATTCTTATGGAAGTTGCTTTTCTTTCATATACAATGCCTACAACATTAACTATTTTTCTTATTCATAAATAAGGTTTTGTACCTTTTTTTAGGTTTTCTTTTTCTTATTTAAAAAATATAAGTTTACTTAAAATATAATTCGTAATTTACAATTTTTATTGATTTAATAGAATAAATTTATATTACTTAAAATATTCATTTAGCAAATAGGAAAATTTTCATAAATGATCTATTAAATACTTGTTTCTCCTTTATTCAATAGAGAACTATAACAATGTTATGTATTTTTGTATAATTTTTTTTATTATGTTCTAAACGGCACATTTAGTTCAACTATTAAAATGAATTATTAAAAAGCATAAAAAATAATAAATAGAAAATTTATAAATTTAATAAAATATTGCTTTTTTTAGTAAAAATAGCAAAAAATATATACGTAAAGCATCTAGGCATTATTATAAGGGTCTTTAAACACACTACTAGTATCATTAGATACTTTTAGCTATCTTTCTTTTTTAGGTAGTAGATTATTAATTATTATGCATATATATTTTTTTTTATAAAATAAAAAAAACACTTAAGTAAACATATATTATTTAATATACAAATTGGTATTGTAGGAATTATTTTGCTTTTCTGTTATAAAAAAAAATTACTAGAAAATTTAACTACAAATTTGTATTCATTTTTTTTACAAGATAAAAAAAAAAAATTTTCTTTAGGCATTTTCTAGTATATATAATTTTAATAAATAAAAAAAAAATTTTAATGGGAAATATATGTTTATAGAAAAGCAAAAAAAAAGACTTTTAATTATTATAATATTACATATAAAATTAGCAAGCAATGAAAAGGATACAAAAAATAATTTGTTGTAAAAAGATATTAGAACTGAAAAATTAGTTGCTAGAATAAAGAAAATAAAAATATTAATAAAATCTTACAATTTTTAAATGTCATCAAGCTTTTGGTACTTCCGTTTCATGTATTTGACAAAAAAAACATTTGAAATATATATTTTGGTATAAGTTATTCATTACATATATTATAGTAAATTTAAGTATTTTTTAATTTGAGAAAAAAACAATTTAGCTTGACTTTTAGAACATAAAACCTAAAAAACATATGAATATATCCCTATAAAAATTATATTTACATGCTTCAAATATAAGCAATAAAATTGTAATCTTATTTTAAAGATTAAATGTTTCTTTTACAAAAGAAGAATATTTTTTTCATTAAATGTACAAAAAATTATAAATACAAAATGAAAACTTAATACTTTCTAATATTACTTCATAAAAAATCTTGCCTTCAATTTTTTTTTTTCTTAATATTTAATTCATAAAAAGTAGTTTATAATAACTTTTTGTATATTTTAATATTGGTAGAATTTATTTTTAAAATTCATTATTTCAGGACAACATATTTCGTTTCTATTTTTAATTGATAAATACGCTTCTTAATATTTTCTTATTTTAATATTTCCTTGAAATATCATCTTTGATAATTATATTTTTTATTTATCTCTTTTTTATTATTTTAAATTATATTAAGGTCATTTTTTCAAAATAAAAAAACAGAAGAAACAAATTAATAGATTTGAATTATACATTTTTTATATTGTTTCACTTATATTTTTGTACATTACATAAAATATAGTTGTAAAGTTTAGTTTTATTTTTGATGTTCTTTTTTTATATGATTTTTTATTATTTTTATTTTATATAAATTGAAGATTTATTTACTAAAGTGTTTTTAGTAAACTATTAAATTTATGTTTTAATGATTCATAATTATCTTTAAATTATTTTAAACAATGTGATGAAACAAAATTTTTTTTTTCATTAGTTTTTTTATTTATAAAATAGACATATATTAATTTTCTTCAACTAAAATCAACAATATACTATCATAAATTTAAGATAAATGTCTTACTTTGTGAAGATTTCTATTTCAGGGTTATGAAATTTCATATATTTTAGTAAGTTTAATTTCGAAAGTGCTTTATTAACGTTTTAAATTATCTCTAAATTAATAAATTAATATAGATGTAAAAATAAAGCTATAATTTTAATTATATTTTATTATTTTATACAATGCTTTTTAAAGTACATAATTTGAAAGAAAACTGTGAAAAAAAAAATTAACAGGAATAAATAAAATACTCTTTTGTTATCACTAGATGTACTGTATGTTAATGTACAAAAACAAATAATATAATAGCTATTTAATGATACTATTTTAGCTTTACTTCAATTTAATATTTTAAAGATTTAGTATTTATTAAAAAGATAAGAGAACATATTAGTAAAATATATATAAAATTACAATGAAGAAAACTTTATATAAAATGAGAAATTTTATTTGTTCATTTTCTTGATTATTTAGAAGCGTAGAAGTTTTTATAAATCATTTCAAAATATGTCTATATTTTGAAATACATTTTTTTACACTACTATAAATTATATTGATATTTATAATAATTATTTTTTTTCTAAAAGGAAAGATAAAGCATTCTCTATAATTTATTTTAAATTTTGATATAATAATTTTTTTTTTATTTATTTTTCATTTCCTTATTCATACCTTACAATTTATGTTTAATTAATAACATTCTGATGATGGTTCTACGAAATATTTTAAATAATAAAATATTAGTATTTAGTATTAAAATAATATTAATTTACACTTCAACCTTTTCAATCTTTCATGTAAAATAATTTTTATTCTTCATTAATATGAAAATTTTTATGGTGCTATAACTTCGACGTCTCAATGAAAGTGATATTTTAGCTTATTTGTTTTTCCGTCTATCATTTTAAAAAAGAATGTATTATCTACCGGTAAAGTTTATAGGTTATTTGTTTTATAAATATATAAAGTATTATTTTTAATAATTAGAGAATGAATAATTATAAAAGAAAAATTCAAATAAAATAAAAGAAAATAGAATTTTATGATTTTTATAAAGGTAAAAATTCATGGTAATGTATTAAACAACAATTTTTTTAAATACATAAAAGTATTTATTTAATTAATTTTGTCCTTACAATAAATTGTAGATATAAAAGACTTGAAAAAAATATGTAAATCTTAATAATATCATAATAAAAAAGGATTTATTTTTTATATATTTAAATTTTTTTGCATCAAGCTTCCTTCTGGTGGACTGTTAAATCTTTTCTTTGGAAATGTAGAATAATTTTAGCAAGAATATTTTGTTTAGATAAAGATAAAATAAGAGAGATTTATAAGTAATAAATTAGAATAAACTTCCAACTTAATCTAAAAGCATTATATTGCATTATTTTAGCATATATTGGTCTATATTAATATTTTCAGCAATTTAATATTACAGGTATATATAGGAAATCCAGTTCATAATAGGTAATAGTATTATTGTTTTAAGAAAATACTCTATAGAAATATTTATTTTCTAAAATTATAAGGTATGTAAGATCTTAGAATAGTAAAATTTATAAATTTTGCTGAGAGGGTGACATTTTTCTTTTGTTGAAAAAAAGGAAATCATAAATAGCATTACGAAATGTTAGCTAAATCACTCTTTTATAATTATTATGTAAAAAATAAATTATTGTTTTCCTTAGAAACTACAAAACATTTAATTCCTAGATATGTTTAATCTCTTTATTTTCATTAATTATAGTTTGTTTTAAGGTTTTTATTAGATACTTTTTACTTTAATATATAATTTATGTGAAAATTTCCATTTCATTTTTTTTTGAATTCTTTTTTTTCACATGTATATTGTGATTTTTCATACATTTTTATAAAAAACATACATTATATAATAACAAAAAGTATGAAATTATAATCTCTTATTCATGTCTAGGTTAATGAAAGAAATGTGGAAGTAAATGAAAATATATTGAAAATTTTATTTCTTATATAATTTTAGTAAATTAAAAAAAAATTCCTTTTATTTCCTTTTCAGTGGATTTGTAAAAAATTTAAATATTAAATATATTATTCATTACAAACACTATCATCAAAATAAGAAAATATTAATGATATCATATAAAAGTAGAAGATTCTTTAAATTACATAATACAAAAATGTTTTAATATTTTAATTTTTTGTTTTATTCTATGATAAACATAGCGCTTTGTCTAGATAAAAACTCTAAAGTTGATAAAAGAATATTTAAATTATTATGTTATATTTTTTGTGTAAGAGGTTATAGATTTTGATTAATACAAAAAAATATACAAATTACATTATTCTAATTTCAGTAAAATAAAATATTTAAAAAATAAATAAAAAAAATATTGTAATTTTTATTTTCATATATTTTCTCTACTAAGGCTAAATTATGTTTTTGTTGAATGTGTTAACATATATTTTTAAAAAATTAATGAGATACAATTTATGATTTTAATTATAAAAAAAAATATATCTTGTACATTTCAATCAAAGAGGTGTTCATAAAAACATATGTTTTTTTTTTAAGTAAAAAAAAAAAAAAAAGTATCACACAAAATTAACAAAAATATGATGATAAACATTATAAACTATATAAATAAATGTAATTAAAGAAATATTGAAAAAACAATTATTTTATTATTTTTTATTTACGAAAAAATATAAAAAAAAGATTAAAAAGTTCTTTTAAAAAAATAAGAGTCTTAAACTATGATAAAAACAATAAAAAAAAAAAAAATTCATTTCTAAATAAAAACAAATGATAAAAAAAATAATAAATATATAATTATTAATTTATAGAAATTTTTACCTTAAATAAAAAAAATTTTTACAATTAATATTTAAATTGTAATGCATAATATTAATTAATTAAATGTATTAATTAAAAATATTTATTAAATTTAAAAGACAAAAAATATTTTAATATTAGTAAAATATAAAAGAATATTTTTATTTTAAAATTATTTTTTTAACAAACTTTATTATATTTAAAAATAATTCATTTCATGATTTGAGATTTAAGTTTATATAAATATATAAGTTTATCATTTCATATTATATCTTTAATTTATTCTATACTTTTCAATTACTAAAATAATAATTAATAATTTATATTTTTTTCTAATATAAATATTAATAATAAAATTAGTTTTATACATGGTATAATATTTAATTTTCAACATTTTATTAAAAAAAAAAAAAATATTTTTTAATTATTTTAAATTTATTATAACCTCTGGTAAATTTATTTAATTATTTAATTATTCAATTTTAATTAATTTAATACTTTTATTTTAATACTTATTAAATTATAATTATTATTTAAATATCTATTTAAAGTATAAAATTTTTATATTTTTAATACAATAAAAAAATTATATAAATTTTAAATAAAAATAATATATAATTTTACTAGAAATTAATTATTACTACATAAATAACATATACTATTTAAATATCCTTATGTTTTAATATTTAATTATTATTATTTTTATAATTATTTACAATATGATTAAATAATTAATATATTTTAATTTATGTTAATTTATTTATTTTATTTTATTTATCATTCATTTTATTTTAATTATTATTTATTTTATTTAATTAATTAATTTTATTTATTTTAATTTATTTAATTAATTAATTTATTTTATTTATTATTTATTTTATTTAAATAATTAATTTTATTTATTATTTATTTTAATTTATTTTAATTAATTAATTAATTAATCAATTTAATTTAATTTATTTGTTTTAATTTATTTATTTATTTATTTTATTTATTATTTATTTTATTTATTATTTATTTTATTTATTATTTATTTTATTTACTATTTATTTTATTTTATTTATTTAATTAATTAATTAATTTATTTTATTTATTATTTATTTTAATTAATTAATTAAATTATTTATTTATTTAATTTATTTATACACACACTATATTAACGTATTTATTATTTTTATTATGATAAATTTGTTTTAATTTATTATTACATTATTTATTATAATTTTATATGTTTCCAATTTAAATTAATATAATTTTTTATTAGTTTATTTTAATTTATTTTTTTTAATTTATTATTTCTTGTTATTAATTAATTTATTTTAATTAATTAATTAATTATTTATTTATTTTTGTTTCTTATTATTTAATTGTATTTATTATCTTTATTTATTTTATTTTATTATTTTAATAATATTATTTAATAATTTTATTTAAGTTATAAGAATAATATTAATTTATTTATTTAATTAAATGTCTGTTAGTATTATTTCAATTAATTATAATTTATTTATTAATTTAATTTATATTTGTTTATATTTAATATATTTTTTTAATTTACCCAGTTTTTATTTTATGAAACCAAATTATTATTAATTTTATTTATTTTATTTAAATTAATTAATTATTTTTTTTATTTTAAATAGTTAATTAATTTATTTATTTTTTTATTTAATTATCTATCTATCTTATTTGCTTATATAAATTATTTATTATATATTAATTTCATTTACTATCTATTTTTGAATAATTGGTCTTCTTATTTATTTTGTTTGTTTTTTCCAAAAATTTATTTTTTATTTTTAAATAACCAATTAATTTATTAATTAATTTTTTTATTTTTAAACAATTAATTTGTTATTTATTTATTTATTTATTCTATTATTTTTAAATAATTTATTGTTTATTGAATCTATTCCTTATTTTTAAATAATTAACTAATATGTTATTTATTCATTTGATTTATTTATTTATTTTTTTTTATTTTTAATTAAATAATTTATTATTTGTTAATTTAATTTATTTTTTAATTTTTAAATAAATAATTTATTATTTATTATTTATTAATTTAAAATTTATTTTTTTTATTTTTAAATAGTTAATTTATTATTAATAATTTATTAATTTAATTCATTTTTTATTTGTAAATAAACTAATTTATTATTAATAATTTATTAATTTTATTTATACTTTTATTTTTAAATAATTGGTTTATTTATTTTATTTGTTTATATTATATAATTAATTTATTTATTATTAATAATTTGTTATTTATTAATTGTTTATATTATCTAATTAATTTATTTATTATTAATAATTTGTTATTTATTAATTGTTTATATTATATAATTAATTTATTTATTATTAATAATTTGTTATTTATTAATTTAATTTTAATTTATTTTTTTATTATTAAATAATTCTTAATTTTTTTTTATTCCCTTTTTTTTTAGAACTAATCTTTATGTATTATTTTAAAATAAATATAAGTGAAAATTAATGTTATATTTATATGTTAATACTTATCTTGTATTTTGAAAAATAACCTGTAGTTCTTTTTAATACATTTTTAATATATTTGAAATACTATGAAAACAAATACCTCAGTATATATTAATTTATATTTTAAAAGATATATATTTAGTTTGAAATTATATTTGTAGTTTTACTTTTTTTGCTTTTCATAACGAATTTTTTATATTTTTTATTGTTTATTTTTATATATTTTTATTTTTTTATAATGTTTGAATATAATTTATTTTATTATGATTTTATTTTTTAAAGAATATTTTATTTTTAATTCTAATAGAATTATTAAATAATTTTTATATTTAATGCACCAAAATTAGTAAAAATAAAATATGAAAAATATTCACATCTGAAACATAGAATTTTCATGATTTATAAATTACATATATATAAAAAAATATAAGTATAATGGTAACGCTTTCTATTCTTTTGAATATTTAAATAGTAGATAAAATTTAAATATATTTATTTATATTATCATAAAACTTATTTAAAAACTTTTCTTATATATTCTGATTTTTTACTATAAAAACTATAACTTTCTTATTGTTATATAAAAAGCATTTTAGTTGATATAAAATAAGAAATACAAAAATATGATATTATATTTGAATGAAAATGTATATAATTAATTTTCAATTTGCATTAAGTTAAAAACTTTCTTTCTAACACATTTAAAAAAAAGTAAGAATTAAGAAAAAATAAAAAATTTAACAAAAACAACATATACGTTTTTATTAATTATATTTATTATTAAAATTAACTTGTATAAATATGTAGTTTAATTTAAAAAAACAAAACTACACATTTTAATTACAATTTTATCTAACCTTTTTAATTCATTAATAAAAACAGATATCTCAAAAGAAAAAAACAAGTGTAATCTAAAACAAAATACAGAAATTTTAATATAAATATATTAATTTCCTTTCACAAAAAAAAAATATAGTATTTGTAAATCTATACAATAATGAGGCATTATTTATTTGAATAAATAAGAAATGTAAATAAAAGAATTTAATTTCAAATCATAAGAAAACTTACAAATTTATTCATTCATATATCGCTTAATTCACGATTATTCTCCATATCTCTACTAATGTTTACTGTTTTTCTATTAATTTTTCTTTTCATCATTACTGTTTTTATTTTCTATATTATTTTCTATGCATTTTTTTTTCTCATTTTCTCTGATATTTTCGTTTTTTTTGTGATATTTTTCTTTACTTCCCTTATTTTCATTTTTTTTTTCAATATTTTTACTCACATCATCATCATTATCTACTTTAAAACCGAGTTCTACTAATTTGCTGTTAAAAAATTCAGAATCATTATTTAGACTCATATAATCATCAGGATTATACTTACCTTCATAGTAACCAACATTTTTTAACCTTTGATAATCATTAACTAGGTTATTAATTCTATTATTTAGCAATATTAATTCATTTTCTAATGGTATATGATCAAATGGATCTCCTTTAACAGCATTCTCAACATTTTTTCTAAACGTAATTTTTTTTTTTTCATTAGCCGTAATAAGAATTTCATATAACATTTTAAGCTGTTCAACTTTATTCTTAAGGTGGATATCTCTTTCAAATTGTACAATATTCTTTTTTGCAATAAATAATGAAAATAATTGCATAATTAATTCTTTATCTTTCATTTTGATTTTGGTAAAAGATAACTGTAAATCAGAAAGGATTAATCCTGATTTAACTGTGCCTTCATCATACAAAAATTTAAAATCAGTTATAAAATCTTTATCGTATTTTAGTACATTAATCAATGCTTCATAATCAGACATTATTGTATGCCTGTCTCTTTTATATATAACTGTTCTTTTGTTATTTTGAATAATAAATGAATTTTTCGTAAATAAATTCAATATTTTTTTATGTTTTTGAAAAAATGTTCTTTTTTTTAATTCATCTTCCTTAATTTTTACCCATTCATCAATGTTCTTCGAGTTTTTAGTTACTAATTTCAAAATTCCATTTTTTCCTTTTTTGTAAAACATTTCATGATCAATTATTGATAATCTTAGAATAAATTCCATAAAATATGAGTGAAAAATAGAAAATTTTAAATTTAATACACCGAAGTATATGAGATTTGATAAAACGTCGAGAAAATAATTTTTTTCTTCATTCGTTAACATTTTTTTGTTGAATAAAATTGGTCCTTTATATTTTCTAGTTAATTTAATAGAATTATCATATGTATTTAAAGAAACTATAGGTTCTTTATAATATTTTTCTTCAGATATTTTTGATATTTTTTCAAAAAATTTTCCTATAAACGGAAGTTTAATCATTTTTTTTATATGTCTTAAATTTTCGATATATGAATAACAAAGAGATATCAAAATTTTAGCTATAAATATAAAATTAAAAAATAATAAAAATAATAATATATAGAAATTTATTGTTGCAGTACAATTTGATATTGTCAAAAAAACAAAAATCATTAGGGTAATTGTCCAAGAAACCATGCTATAAGTTTCTAATTTATTTAAAATATGGTAATTTCTTGAGTCAAACGGCTGAAGTATTAACTGTAAGGTAAGAAAGAAAGATGAAATAATAGTAAACAACCACATAGTAGTACCAAATATTTTAGCTGTTTTAAATATAGGAACAGTTGATATTAATAAAACTAAAATTTTCCTTAAAAACACAGCTGATTCCCAATACCAAAATTGAAAATTAAAACCATTATTTAAAAATCCATATTTAAGCAGAATATTTTCAGAATGTAATTGCTTTCTATTTTTATATAACACTAAGTAAGACATTAATGGAATACCAATTCCCCAGACTATTAATCCACTAATACCTAATATGAAAAATTTTGCGTAATTTTTAGATAAATCACATTTTACACTTGGTACATAACTCATGTATTGCTCTACAAACTTATCATTGTAGTAAATTGCTTTACAATCTAACAAAGTCAGCATAGACAGAGTAGTTTTAGTATGAATAAAAAATAATAGTGTAACGTACATAGGAGTCATGTCTTCAAGGAAATTTCTTATTCTTTTAAACTTTGAATCTCCAGGTATAGTTAAATATCTAAATAATACTAAAGCTCTTTCTGATGGTAATTCTTGCATTATTTCTTCATATAATTTATTATTTCCTAGTTCTTTAATTTTATCTATTACTTTTAATTTTAATTTTGTTTCATTTCTAACTCTATGTTTATATATTTCTACAACAAGGAACATTAAAATTGTTAGAACAATTGCAAGTAAAATAGGCCTAAAAGCATAAAAAACCATTCCATAGAAATAAGCATCTGCATGCGATAAAGCAAAATAATTTGTTAAAATGCAATATGGGCCATAATTTTTTTTTGCTTTTAATAATTTTTTTATATTTGTAATTATATAATTAGCGTGTGAAGAGAAATTAATGGGAAAATATATTTCGCTTGTACCCATAACATAAAAAATTTTCATACAAGAGAAATAATTAACTGCAATTTTAATAACAATAGAATGGACAGATTTTCTATTTGTACCTGTGAAAACATTTAAGTATGCCATAATAACAGTAAATAATAAAACAAAAGCACAAACAAAAATCATATGTAAAATATTTATTATATTTCCACTACACTTTATACATAAATTTAATTTAGAAAAATTATTTGTATATCCTTTTTTGCACTCTCCACATAAAAAATTAGTCATTGATTCATGACACTTTTCGTCGTATAGGCATGCTTCTTTAATTGGGCATTCTACAATAAACCAATTAGAGTTGTATATATTTGTCTTTAATCTGTAAAGTGCATAATTTTCTTTAGGAACAGGCATTACATGCTTAATTTTTGATGGATCTAAATAATTTTCATTTTTTTTCATAATTAATAAAGTTTCTTCTTCAAAACCCCCTTTGCAATAAGCACCATCAGGACAGCTTAAGCAAACCCCATTTTTAAAATAATAATTTTCTAAGCAAAAGCAATGAGCTTCATGCATAGTTCCAACAAAACTAGTTGAGTTAGGTTTACACTTAGATTCACAGGCAAAATCACCAATCATAGTCTTAAAAAACCCACGTTCGCAAGGTGCACAAATTTTTGTTAATCTATATGGAGAAGTATATACATGCTTAAAACCCTTTTTACAAACGCAAAAACTTTTATTAAATGGACGTTCTGCCTCAAATGATACCGTAGTATTCGGTGGGCATTTTGATGGAGCATAATGAATAGTTTTGCTTTTGTTGTTCACTATCATTTTCCCACCTTTGCAATAAGTGTTCTTATCGCTACATGGTAAGCAATGATTAAAGAAGTAATAACCTCCTGAACATGTACAATCTTCTTCTTTCGTACTCCCTATTTGTCCATCTGTTGTATATGGTGTTAAACACATATTACATTCTGCATTTGATATAGCATCTTTGTATGTATTAACTGGGCATGGAATACATTCATTTAATTTTTCTTTATTTATTGTGTATCCTTTATCACAGAAGCAACTTGATTCGCTAAAAGATTCTTCACCTTGAGTTGTCGAGTGTTTTATAGGACATTTTGTTTTTTTTGGTCTACATAAATGTAAAGTATTCTTTTCGAAACAGTCTTTTAAATATCCACCAGGGCAGTAGTATCCTTTGGGGCACTTAATACATTTATATTCATTTAATTCCCAGTAATAACCTATCATACATAAACATTTATCTATACTTTTTGTTTTTGTATATAGAGTAATACTGTTTTTTGGGCAAGGTTTCTTCTCAGTATTGCTAAGTTCTGGTTTATAATAATTTTTAGATACTTCTAAACAGTCGAATTCATTATCATCCATTTTTACAAATTCATAACCCTTTTTACATAAGCAACTTAAATGTGATACATTTAACCTATTTGGATGTTTTGTTAATTTTTTTCCATTACATGGGACTTTCTGATTTTCATAAATTGCATATTTTGGATCCATTTTATCAAAACCAGGACAATAATGATTATCTGGACATAATAAGCAAGAATTTTCAGAATGTAAATAGTAACCTTTTTTGCATTTTTTACATTGAGATATTGAAATGGATTGTGTACCTTCTGTATATACATTTGAAGAGCAACTTTTACATTTTTCTTCCGAAACTGTGTTTTTATAAAATCCTACTTTACACGGTTTACATACTTGGGAACTTTCTATATCTATTGTGAAGTCTTTGTAATCATTGAAAATAGGATCATTTTTAAAATCGTAATTAATGATATTTGTAGAATCATAGGGTTCAAATCCATAGTCACATTTACAACTTTTTATAGAAAAGTTTTTTTGCGTTGTATTGGTAGTATTTTCTGGGCATTTTATTTTATCTGATTTATATCCACCGGGGCAAAAATAACCTATATCACATTCTTCACAGAAATTTATAGAGTCTTTAGAGACAAAATAATATCCTTTTTTGCATTTACATTGACTTTCTTCTTCACTACGACTACCATGAATTGTGCTGTATGAATTAGGGTAGCAATGAAAAATACAAGGAGAGTTAGAGAGTTCAGTCTTCCAGGTTTCCTGTTTGCATGGCACACATTCATCATTATTGTTTAATTCGTACCCAGGTAAACAAAGACACTGAGTTACTGACGTAGAAGCTTCTTCTTTAGTGGTAGAATGGTCATGACATAATGTACACTCATATATATTATTATTTTTAATATATTCATTAACGTTGTTATATGATCCTATTGGGCAAGGAACGCATCTTTTATTAAATACTTTCATTCCATCAGCGCATATAACTGTAAAATTCATGTCTACTTTTATTTCGACAAAAACTCCATTAAGCTTAGCAGTCAAGTTAACTATATCACCAACAAACTCTGATAATTTAATATTAATAGTTCCGTCATATTTATCTATTGTGACAAATTGCGATTTATTTAAATTGTGAACTTCAACTTGAAAATTATGAAGTAAGTTCATTTTTTTTATTTCGTCTGATTTTATTTGGAGTGTATACACTTTGTTGTCGTCTTGTATAACTTCTGGATAATTATATTTTAATTCAAGTTTATTAGTGATATTTCTCAATGGACCATACATAAATTGTATATCACCTTCATAATATTTCACTATTAAAAGTATATTTCTATTAATTAATTCTTTATGATCATAAAATTTATATATTTTTTCTATTTTTCCATCGTCAATGTATGTATTATTTATTTTAGTTACATATAATAAATTGTTATCAAGTTTATATTTGTTATAATGTAATAAGTTTATTTCATTAGAATTGTCCTACAAAATAAAAAAAAAAAAAGAATAATTATATGCCAATTTTTTTTGAGAATAAGATTTAGAAAATAATAAATATAAAGGAATTTTTTTAGTAAAACTAAAAATGCTATAAAAAATTAATAATAAAAATAATTTAAAAAAATACATATATATAGATATATTCATTATAGTAATTTATCTTTTTTTTCTTAATTTTTTTAGAATAATAAATAATTTATATGTTTACGTCGCTTATAAATAAGACATAGGATTCATCATATGGGTAAATTACAATATTTTGGGGTTTGTATAAAAAAGTATTTGATTGGCTAAATACGGAATCATTATAAAGATTTATACTTTCTTGATTTAAGTCATTTTTATTTTCTCCTTCAAAAATGTCTACAACAATTAGCAAGTTTTTTGGTTCAATGTATTCAATAGCTATAACACTGTTATTTAATTGATCAATTAAAAAACAGTCTAATGATTCATTTCTTAAAGCTCCACATGAAATATCTGTTATAAGAAATGAAGAATTTTTTAAAACATCCAAACTAAAATTGATACCTCGAATTTCTGTTATTAAATTTTTTACAACGTTTATATCATGTTTATAAGTGATGTTAAAATTTAAATCGACTATCATTAATTTTATATAAGGATGTGCTGATATTAAAAAAATTTGCTTTAAGTTTTTATTCTCATCATAAATTGGTTCCATCATAATAGGTGATATGCATTTTTCACATTTTAAAAAATTAGAATAATCTAAATAATATGATAATAGAAATTCTACATGAACATCATTTATGTTATTATTTATAATTTTTCTTTTCTCCTTTACTTTTTCTGGTGTTATATCATATAAATATAAAGATTGTAAATTTTTTTTTAAAACATATAATTGCACAGCATCATCTGTAACGTTCAAAATAGAACTGGAAGCATTACTTATTTTAAAATATTTAAAAAATATTGGTGTCATGTTTTCATCATAATTATAGGTTAAGATTATTTCATTTTTTGTTGAATAGCATGAAAATGATATATACAAATCATTTATATTATTTAAATTAAAAATATTTAATAATTCTGGGAAAAATATTAAGAAATTTGATGTTCTTTGAATTGTGTACGTTCTAATGTCATCGGGAGCTATATTAAAATCTAATAAATGGTTTATATCCTTATAATTATGTAAAACATACTGTTTTACCATAGCATATCCTATTAAAGAATATTCATTCCTTTTTTTTGAGCAAATTTCTAATATTTGACCATAATCATTTAAATTTATATCAGAAATATATATTTTATCTAAAATAATATCTTTATTTTTATCACTATTAGTTTCTGTTATATTATTTGAATAGGACACATCTTCACCTGAACATCGGTTTATTTCTTTTTTTCTCAAAAAAACTTCTTCTAAATTCTCGTTTAATTTATATCTGTGCAAAACGATATAATTTTTCAAATTTAATTTAATAGGGTTTAAGTCTAAATATAAATAATTTATTTTGTTTATGTCATAACCTAGAAGTAAAAGAAAAAAAATATTAATAAGTATTCTTATCCATTTATTTTTCATAATAAAGTATCAAAAATGATAGAATAGAATAAAATAAAAATAACAAAAAAAATAAACACAAAAATATATAAAAATTTTACATATGGACAATACAAAACTACAAAAGTTATTAACCGTTAACATGAATTGTAGAAAGAAGAGACGAATATTCCACTCCGTTATCACTTGATGTGTAACATAATAAATAAGTTCCTGGTTTTTCAAAAACAATATCATTGTTATATTTGTTTGCATCGATTTCATATAAAAATACGTCATAAAACTCAAGTTTTTTTTCATTTTTATGAAAAGCTTCTTGTATTTGGTTAAATGAAGTGTCTTTAATATTATTGCAATTATAATATTTTACTTTATCAATGATAAAGGCTTTATTAAAGGGAAATGGTGTTCTATATGCTTGGAAATTTAAAATAAGTTTATTTCCAGATAATAAGTGTATTTCATTCACAAGTTTTTTGACAACTCGAATAGTTGAGATATTAATATAATGTTTGTTAGTATCTGTACATTTGTTATAATAATATGGATAGTTCTCATAGCATGAGCATACATTATATAAACCTTCAACATTATCTTCTACTTTAATATTTTTAAATTCAGAGCCAATTATTTCTCCTTTGTATAATATAGGATTACCAAAATTCTTAATAGTATTCTGAGAATAAAATTTAAAATCGGGACTAATTGATTTTTTTTTATCCAAACAAGTATCTTTTGTAATGATTATAGAAGAGTGCACAAATAATGATTCATTTTTTATTTTTAAATCAAAAATTTCTCCTGATTCAAGAACTACATGATTGTTATCTTTGAAAAGAAAAAAATAATAATAATAATAATATTGAGAATGCATTAAAAAATTAATAAATTTAAAAAGAAAAAATCAAATATATGTTAAAAAATGATAAAGTTATAAAAAAAATAATTTAATATTTTTTAACTTATTTCTAAATATTCAGATTTATTGTCAACTAAGCATTTTAAAGATAGTTCATTATCTTCTTTAATACAGAAGTTATCATTGAGGTTAAAATCAACAGGAGAATCACATATTTTTTGTGAAGTTGTGAATCTGTTACAATTATCGATGTTTTTAAGTTTTTTGTCTTCATAACAACTAGATAGATCTGAAAAAATGAAAAAATATTATTTAGATATAATAATTACTAATATATTTATCAATATATATTGTTAATATTTTATCTTACATTTTGTTTTTTCTTTTGAGAAAATATTGCTTAATAGATTTATTGGGTCGTTTAATTTTAATTCTAAAATATTGTTTAAATTAAGTGAAACAAAACTAATTCCTCTTTTCCGTATTACTTTTTTATTCGGTTTTTGTGTATTTTTATACTTTAAATTATTTAATTTTATGAGTTTATTTCTCTTAACGTGTGGGTTGTCATATGCTTATAAAAAAATTATAGAAATATTTTTTAAGCAAAGTGTATTATATATGTAGATATACTTAAATTTTTATTTTTTTCTTCAATATTTAACTTTGCGTTTTATTACAAAATTTCATTTTTATATATATTAACTTTATTTTTGTCTAATACTTTAAAAATTTTAATGAAGAATATATTTTTTTTTCATATTTTTGCTTTAAGTTTTAAAATATATATATATATCTCATTCTAATTTATATGTATAAATTAATATATTTGTAAAAATTATTAACATAAAGTTAATCTATTATTTCTCTTTTCTTACTATTCATAAAAGAAAAATTTTGTTTTTTTATGGATTTTGGTGCTATATCAGCAGCATAGTACTAAAAAAAAGTAAAAGAATTATAATATTATATCTATTCTACAAAAAGTTATATATATATATATGTTATTTGAATTTAATATGTTCATCATTTATATTACATGTCTCTTAAATAGAAAACTAGTTAGTAGAGAAAAAAGCAAAAAAAAAATTTTTGGGTTCACCATTTTGTAGATAAATAATGAAAATCATTTTAGATGATACGAAAATACCCAAAAAAAAAATATTCAGATTTTTCTTAAAATAAAATTTTTTAATTCAAATATGTCTTATTGGTTTATGATTTTATAGGGAAAGAAAAATTAATGTGTGCATGAAATTAGAAAAAAACACTATTTCTTGAAGTTTTCTTTAGAAACATTTTGTTCTGCATGCGATATTGTTGAAGTTCAAAACACACTTGAACTTTTTATAAGTTTATCTGAGAAGTAGTTTTTTTAATATGGAAAAAAATATAGATTTAATTTATAATTCAAATAAGAAAATTTACAATTCAAAAAAAAAAAAAAAAAAAGTAAAATAAAATATAGAAATAATTTTATATCAATTTTTTACGAAAATGTATGACCTCTTTAAGTATTAATAGAACATGTCTTTAACATAATAATATATCATTTATTTTATTTTAATAAAGGAGTTATATTACATTTAAGTATATAAAAATAGAGAAATATTAAACAGTAAATTTAAATGAAAAATAGACACCATGATTTATTTATTTTTATTATGTTGCAATTTTTATTTAAGTACAACAAAGAAAATGTTTTAATTTCTAATAATTTAGATCGAATTCTTAAACTTCATATTTTTTAATTTTTGGAATAATGTTTAAAAGAAATAATATTTCATATTAAAAAATTATTTCATAATTATTTTTTCTTGTATTAAAAATACTGAGACGTTAATTTCTTATATATTTAAAAGTAAAAATATTTGACTGTTCCGAAAAATTCATTTGATAAATACGCATATTTTTCTTTTTTAAAAAAAATTCCAACCTTTATGATATTTGAATATTCATTTTCGTGGTCAAATAATACAAACTGCTATTAATTCTTGCAAAGTTATATTATAAATAGTTAAAATTGTTTCATTTTTTTTTTTTTTTTCATTATACATCACTTAACCTAATGATAATAAAGGAAAAAAAATTTGTAGTTATTATTTTAAAAAAAAAAGCTTTTTACAAATAAAACAGCTTTAGATAAAAAAAAGTATATAGCAAAATATTATATTAGTAAAAAATATATAAAAATTGTACATTTGAAAAACATAACTATATAAAAATAAAAAAAAATACGTAAAATGAAATATTACAATTTATAAAAATGTAAAAAGGTGAACATACGTATTTCAAATTGACATAAAAAATCTTTAAAAAAAAAAAAGGTATTCAAGAAAAAAATAATACTATAGAAAAAAAAAAAAAAAAAAGAGGAAAAAATTATATTTACTTAACATGCATTATATTTGAGAAATTAAAGAAAACTTTATTTTATTTTTATATAAATTTTTCTTTTATTGTTTTACTTTTAATTTTATTATTTATTTATTATTATTATTATTTTTTTTTAATTATTCGGATGAATTTTTATACATTTAATGATATATAATTATAAATTAATGTTGATTAAATAATTTAGTATGAGATAAGCAAAATATTTTATATCAATTTTCTTTAATTTTTATTAAAATAAAAATGCAGAGAGCATGTGAAATGGTCGTATCTTTGTTACGAACTGATTCCATGACTCAGAAGTGTCCTTTCCATGTGCTTAATGTTCAAATTCTTGAATTATTACAAAAGGAAGGTCTTATAAGAGGGTTTGCGATTAAAGGAACAAAAATAGATATACTACTTAAACATTATAAAGGAGCTCCTGTAATTATGATATAACTATTTTTTTTTTTTAAATAAAAATATATGAATACTTAAATATTAAAATATTCAATATAAATGTTTATATTAAAAAGATAATTATAAAAATTCATTCACAAATAAATAAATAAGGAAATTAAATATTTTTATATTTTGAATTTTTCATTAAAAAAATTTTTCTTTTTTTATATATAATATATTTTGTTTAGGTTATAAGAAATATTCGTGTTGTTTCTAAACCAAGTAGAGATATATGGCTAACTCCTCATGAACTTAAATTTCGCACACGATTTAACACAGGGCTTTGGGTTATGCAGACTAGCTGTGGTGTAATAAGTCATAGAGATTGCATTCGAATGGGTATTGGAGGTAAAATGTTATTTGCAGTTAATAATGGTTATCAACATTTTTGTTGAGTTGTTGAGAGTATTAAAGAAAATATTATTTTAATTTAAAATGATAAGAAAATAAACAAGATAAATTTATAAAAGGGTAAATTAGTTAATATCAAATATATTTTTTAATGTAAACAATTATTAATTTGTATTTACTAAAAAAGAAATTATAATAAATTTGGAATGATTTTTTATAACCAATCAAAATAAATAAAGAATATGTATATACTCATTATTAGTTTATCTATTTAAAATTAAAATAGTAGACAAAAAAATTATGATTTCAAAATAGATTAATAAATTTCAATTTTTTAAACATCTTTGGATTTGGAAATTTTTTTTTATAATAATATAAAAATTAGAAAGAAAATTATCTTTAAATACCTTTAAATTTATACATTTAAAAAAAAAAATATTTATATATTGATAGAATATATCCAACCCATGAAAAAGAAATTATCCGATAAAATAATTTAAAAAAAAAAGATGAAGAAATAATATATCTAAAATCAATTTAAAACACGAAACATAAAATTTTTAACTAAATTTTTTTTTTTTTTTTTTTTATTTTCCATATACTATTTTATTATAAATTTAAGAAAAAGTGTAGATGTAATAGAATGTTCCTACATATGTACATCATAGCAGTTATCTTTTATTTATTTTTTTATTTTAATTTTTTTTTTTTTTTTTTTTTGACGTTATTAAGTTACAATATTTTTTTTTGTTGATAAAGATATTATATAAAATGTTATTTTTAAATATGTTTTAATAATTGAAACAAAATATATATATATTAATAAATTCATTTAATATGTAAACTTGTTGCTTTTAATAATCACTTTTTTTCCAAAATGAAAAATAAAGTCTAAAAATTATGAAAGACAAGATTTGTATTTAAATGAAATCAAGAATTAAATTTATAGGATTTTAATTTATATTTATTTTTTTTATAAGAACAATTTTATTTATTATATCCTTTTATTCCACTATTTTTAGTATTATTATTTTAATATTATCTATAAATATTTTTTATTTTAAGTTTTTCAAATTTATATTTACTAAAAGTAAAATTTCAAGATATCAATATATTTCATATTCATTGAAAAAAAAATAAAGAGTTATAGAACTTCATAATTTTTTAAAAAATTTTTTTTTTATTTCATTATTTTTCTATTTAGTACGGATATAAACATTTGCCGATACTTTAAATAAAATTATTTTAAAGTATGTTTAGAGTCTATAACATGTGAAATCTTTATTTCATAAATCATATGTTGGATTAATAATTTTATTAAAACAGCGGACATTCGTTCTTAATTGTTTAAAAATTCCTTAATGTATTCTTTGGAAAATTATATACTAATATTTAATTGAGAACTAATTATTCTTATCAATTAAGATAAAAAAAAGAAAGAGGAATAGAGATATAAAATCCAATAGTTCACTATACAAAAAAATATAAAATAAATATTATATAAAAAAAAAAATTATTTATATTAAAAAGAATTATATAGAAAAAAAACATGAAATTTTAATACATAGTTTATATAACAACATGCTATTATCATATAGGAAGAAACTTAAAAAAATTATGTAGGATTTACAATTAAAATATAAGTTATGCAAATAAAAGATAATAATTTTAAATTGTCGACATTTTTATTACATCTTGCGTATTTATTTTTCATTATCATATTGACAATAAAAAGGACGGTACAAAAAAAAGTGTAAGAAAACTAAATATTATAAACTAATAATTTTACATTTATTAAATTATTTTTATAAAATTAAAAAAAGAAAAAAAACATTTTTTCTTTGATTCATATAAATTGTGATTTTGTTTTGATTATTACAAAAATAATCAGTATTCATTAATGAAAAAAAAAAAAAAAATAAAAAAATAAATAAATAAAAGTTTTACTTAAAAAAAAAAAAAAAATGATATTTTAAATTTTAGTTTATATTTAATAATTTTGTGTTAAATAAAATTTCGATAATTTTTCTGTAAAATACTATTTAATTGTGATTATATCAAAATGTCATTTGAGGATTTAACTGACAATACAAAGTCTGTAAGGAATATTCCAGGAGCAAAATTCATAGTTAGAAAAATAAAAAGATGAAACTTTTAAATAATAGTTTTTTATAAATATTTTTTACCAGAAATAAAAATATAATTATTACTCTAATATTTTCTAAAAATCATTTCTTTGTTTTTTGCATAGGAACATATAACAGAATTTTTACAAAATAAAAATGAGGAAACTATGCTTCGTTTGGCCAAAGAACTTTTATTGTAAATACACTATTAATTAGAAATATAAATTTGAAAATTATGAAATTATTAAACATTTTTATTGTATATTATTAATTCTATTTTATTATATATAATGGAATAAAATAAATATTTTTATTTTTTCATACAGTATATTTAGTTAAACTATATCTAATTGTTTTTCAAAAAAAAAGAGTTATTTTATGTTAAAAATTTTAATATATTCTTTAAATAGATTTTAAATTAATTTTTTTTTTTAGGAAATATAAATTTATGGAACATACATTTGTAACAAGACAAATGAATACTGAAAAAAAAATACCTGAATTAAAAGACGCTTTAAGAGTTGTGAATACTCTTTATAAAAGAAAGGTTTAGTTAAACATTTTAACATTATTTAATATTTTAATTTTATGAACTTATATATGTGTTTTAAACAAAATTTGTTGTTAAAATATTAATAATTATATATGATATTATAAATTATCTTTTTAATAGGAAATGGGTGAAAGTAAAAATATGGAGTTATATTTTCCACTAGAAGAATCGTTATATGCTAAGGGAATAATTGAAAAAACTGATCACATTCTTCTATGGCTTGGGGTTAGTATAAAAATTAGAAAATATTAGTAAGATTCTTTTATGTTAAATATATTTAGAAATGTTTATTTAAAATATTTATAATAATTTGCATTTAATATTAAATTTATTAGGCTAATGTAATGGTTGAATTTCCATTTAATGAAGCTATAGATCTTCTAAATCATCATTTAGATAGAGCAATAAATCTTTACGAGGAAATGGTATTTTAAAATATATATTTTTTAAAAATATTCGTTATTGAATTATATTAAAATATAATTAAATAGTTATGCTTTCTTTCCTTTTAATTATTAATATATAAAAAAAAAGAATAACTTGAAATAATATTATGATTTTTCAAGTGAAAAAAAATATATTAAATATAATACATCTATTATTATATTTAATGTTATATAATTTTATTTTGACATTTACTTTTCTTAAAAATTTTTAAATAGGATAAAGAACTTTTATGGTTACATGAGCAAATATCAACAACAGAAATTAATATATCTAGAATACACAACTATGTAGAAATGAAAAAAAGAAATAAAGAAAACAATATTACTGAAAATCAAAGTTAACTTATAAATATATTGATAATTTTTTTTTCTAAATTTCCATGTCTTTTATAATATATAATATAAATTATTTGTCTATAATGTGATATAAAAACATAAAATTATTAATATAAAGTTGATTTAATAATTAAAATTTTTTTCAAGCATAAAAGACTCATGAAAATTATTATTTCACTTTTGTTTTTCATATATTTTTTCTTTTTTTTTTTTATGAGTTATATTTTAAAAATATAAAATACAATTTTTTTATGAAACAAAAAAAAACTTAATAATAAAATAATGAAAATGTCTTTTTCTGTAGTATAAAAACACATAAAAATAATATATCTTTTATTGGGAAAAATATTTTATTTTAATTATTTTATATTTGTAAAATAGAATTTTAAAATTAATATTTATATTATTATATTTTAATATTTTTAAAAACAACAAACTTGTAAAATAGAATAATTATATTTCATTCTCGATATATACACATGTACTTTTTTTTTTTTTTTTTTGTCATATTCTAAATATGTTTACATATTTATTTAAATACAAATTTATGAATTCTATGAATAATTTTTTTAAATTTTAATTTTTTTTTTTTTTTTTTTTTTTATGAATATTTCAAATTTAATTTTTTTTTTTTTTTTTTTTTTTTTTTTTTTTTTTTTGTGCACACATCATTTAGGTAAAAAAAAATTAAAATACAGCAACATAAACAGATAACAACCAGAACAAAAAAGAGAAAAAGTACTAACATAATATGAAATCGTAATATTAAAAAAAACATATTTACCAAAAGAAAGTTACAAATAATTTTTATTAAGCTTTAATTTATATTCATAATATTTTTTAATGCTAACTTGTTCATATTTTTAATTAAACTTTTAATTAGTGTGTAGAACAAAGTAAATAAAAAAAAAAATTTCAAGATTGCTCATTGTCAATGGAAAATTGTCTCCTAAACAAAAACATTAAAGAATTCATTTAAAGTCTTAAATAAATAAATAAATTCATTGTTTTATCACATTTGAACATCTTTACACTTCTAAAACACAAACATCCGTTTTTTTTTTAAAAAGGATATAATTAGTAATAACATTCGGACAAATAAAATATAAGATTATACAAATTTCTTTTTTCTTAATAATTTATGAAAGTGATGTTATAAATTTTACAATATACTAATTAATTGTATTGTAGAACATTAAAAATAATGGTTAATTTTAATTTTTTTTATATTTGAAACGAAAAAAAAAATAATTTAAAAACATTTTCACAATATTAAATAAATCATTTTTTAATATTTTGTTGTAGATGAGTATAAACCATGATTTTTTATCTGGAAATTTTCTAGGATATCCTTTAGAAGAAAACACATTATTGTAATAACAAAAAATATACATGTATTACGTGAAGATTAAGAATATATTCTTATTTAGTGGTTTATTTTTATTTTAATTTTTTTGTTTTAATTAAACTTATAGGAGTCACCAAAATTTTAATTTAAAGAAATATAAAATAAATCCTTTAAAAAATGTTAATACATATTTTAAATCAAGAATAAAATAAAAAGAGAATATAAATAATTTATAAAAAAAATTATTATTTTTTTTATTACATCTTTTTTGCTTTTTTTGTAGAACATTTTTAATAACAACGAAGATTTGTTGAAAGAATTAGACGAACTAAGAGAATATAAAAAAATGTATAATTAAAATTAAATAATCTTTAAATAATAAGAAATGAGGCACCTTTAAACTTTTTTTTTTTTTTTTTTTTTTTTTTCATTAGAATTAACCAAAAAATTAAAAGATATGAGAATATTATATATTCGTACAAGAATCAAATACGTAATTTAAAAGTAAGAAAAGGAAAATACTAATAAATGTCATTTCATTTTTTTAATTTTATAAATATTTTTATAAAATTTTTAATATTTTTGTTGAATAACTAAAATAAATAGAAATAAAAATAATTATCTTTATTTAAATTATACATTTTATATTTTCATTTTCAAAAAAAAAAAAAAAAAAAAAAATGTAGAAAAACATGTTAAATGGGGGAGAAGTAAATATACAACTTATAAATATATTTGTTAATACTATATGTGACATAATTGAATATCTGTGTACTGACATAAACAAGCCTGGTAATATGAACATATTGTTAAAAAAAAAAAAAAAATTATTATTATATATTGAGATAATAATTATATATTTTGTATATATTATAAAAGTACATATTTTATTATATTTTACATTTTTAGTTTTATCTACCCTTCCATTTATTCATACCATAATAAATTCAGCTCCACTAGTAAGAAAAAATTAAGTGATAAATTTTCATGCACTTATATGTATATAGCTGTAAATAAAATTTAATTAACTATCTTTCAAAAAAAAAAAGATTTCAAATTTATTATTTCCTTTATATATATAATGATATTTTCTTAGAGGGATAAAAAAATATATCAATGTTCAAAATTAATACATATAACATTGACACAAATAAATAATGAAAATAAAATTAATGATAAAGAAAAAAGTATTCAAGAAGAAGAGGATCAATTTTATCAATTTAGCCCTCATAAATTACAAGATTTAGAATGGCTAGCTTCTGAAACAAATGATAAGGGATGGCTAACAGTTGGTGATAGATGGGAATTGTGCAAGAGAGATTTAAAATGGTTGTGTGTAAAGACAAATAATAGATCATGGTTATTACATCGTCATATGTGGGAAAATAGTTCTAATGACTTAAAATATATATCTGTATTATTTGACGATAAAAAATGGCTAAATTTATATAAAATATGGAAATTTGTTCCATTAAGCGTTAAATTAAGAGCTATTTCATTAAAAGATCCAAGTATTTGTAAACCATCATTAAATGAAATTATGTTAAAAGACGATGATATTTACAAAATTAACATGTTAGAATTAAATTCAGACATATCAGATCTTTTAAAGAGGAATTATTTAAAATATAAGTTAAATGATAAAATGAGTGATTCTTTAAGGGATAATTCTTATGAATTTGAAAATTATATTGATAAAAACGAAAATGATCTTTTAACATACAGAAAAATTAAACAAAGGGAAGATATTTTGGAAAAATCATTAGAATATAATTCATGTAATACAAAAGAAGAAAATATTCTTGAGGGAAATGAAAATAGGCTAATTTCTAATTTTTTACCAAGAGAATACATAAAAAATGAGAAAAGTTCAAGAAATAAATTATTAAATTCAAAAAATGTAGAAAGTGAAAAAGTTAATACACTAAAACAAGAACCTTTGACTAAAGTATTGAAAAAAATACCAATTTCAGTATTAAAAAATGAAAATACAAAAAATAATGAGATTCAAAAAAGTAAAAATATTTTACCAAAGTCTTTCATTAAACATGAGGAAAATAATGTAAACAAAAAAAATTCTATTATAATTAAAACGACTAAAGGTATCATTGATAATAAAAGTATAATTAATAAAGAAGTAATGAAAGGTTTACAAGAAACAAAAGTGAAACTAGAATTATTTAAAGAAGGTTTTAGTGCAAAACAAATTATTTTAAAAAAAATTCCTCAAAATATAACTGATAAAAGTCTATTTAATAAAGAAAATGTAGAAAAAAATAATGAAAAAGTTATGGAAATAAAAGAATTTCTTAAACAAAATTCAAACCAAAAAATTCAAGAAAACAAAACAACTAATAATAAAGAACACAAATTAAATAATGATAAAAAAGAAAAAGAAATAATTAATAATATAAAACAGAAATGTGTAATACCAGAGAAAAATATTTTAAATAATATAAAAAAAGAGAATATGACAATAAAGTTACCTCAAAGTGGATCAAATTTATTAGAGAAGAAAGAAATTGAAAACAAAAAAGAATTTATTATTCCCAAAACAGTTATACCTACAAAAATTGCAGCTCCACTAAGCATTTTACCAAAAATAAAAGAAGAAAATTTAAAGAAAAATCTTATTATACCTAAATTAGATTCTTCTAAAGAAAAAATGCTTATGTTAAATAAAAATAATAATTTTCATGCAAAAGACGCAGATGTTATAAATGAAAAGTCTCTTGAGAATAAAAATAAAAATATTATTTCAAAAACAAGTATACCTAAAAAAATTGCGGCTCCACTAAGCATTTTACCAAAAATAAAAGAAGAAAATTCAAAAAAATTTCCTATTATATTAAAAAAAAATTCTTCTAAAGAAAATCTGCTTAACATAAATAAAAATGGTAGCAGTGAAACAAATCAATCAAGTTGCATTTTGAATGAAAATGATTCTAAGAATGAAAATGTAATTAATATAACATGTGATTCCCAAAATACAAATCCTAATGATTTAAAAACTATCAAAAGAAAAGAATCAATCTTAAGAACACACGCTTTTATAAATAATGGTAAGAATGATAAATTAAATTTTGTAGAATTTATAAATTTATAAGCTTCCTTAAAAATAATAATTTTTTTTATTAAAAATATACATAATATTTATTGTATGATATATTTTAATAAAATGCTATTTTTTTTTTTTTTTTTCTTCAGAAAAGGAAATTAAAATTAACACACCAAATAAGACAGAGGATCCAAAAAAGGTAACTTAAGAATCTGAAAATGATAATTCTACACCATTTTATAAATATACATTTATAATTAATATTTTTATTTATAAAATTATTTATTTTTATACTTCAATTTTAATAGTATATATATATTTATATAATTTTGTACATTCCGAATGAAAATGATATTTTTTACTATGTTTAAATCTAATGATAAAGTTGTATTAATAGTTTTTATGAAATATTCACAAAATATTAATTTTATGCTGTGTATTTTCATTATATGAAAGATGCTTTATGATTAACTTATGAAACAAAAGCTTTATTATGTACGTTTTTACTTAAACTTTTTTTATATTAAAAAAAATAAATTATTGTTTAAAATAGACATCTGTTTTTATTAGAATTTTTTTTTTTTTTTTTAAATAAATATCTACACTTTTTATATACCTTAATTATAAGATTAACTATATAAAAAGGTTTATACATAAATAATTTTATAATAATTTAGGAACCTCAAAGTGCAGTTACCAATTATTTCACAGATTTATTTAATGCGTTTAATTTTGTTACTAAAAAGGAAGATGATGAAATACCAGATGAAAATGAGCATAATAAAGTAGAAACAGAAGAGAATAGAGAAAATGAAAATCAAAAAGATTTAAATGAAGAAAATTTAAAAAATGAAACAAAAAATTCAGATGAAGAAGAAAACTCGGTAATGGACAAAAAAAATTTAACGAAAGAAGGAAATAAATCAGAAGAAAAAAAAGATATGATGGATGAAAAAAAAAATTCATTGAAAGAAGAAAAATTTTTAGAGAAAGAAGATGGTAACTCCAAATTGAAAAGAAAACATACAAAGGTAAAAAAAAAAGGTTCAAAGGAAAAAGAACATGATAAAAACAAAAAAAATATACATTCAGAAGAAATGGACTCAAGGAAGAAAGAAGAACACTCAGATAAGGATGCAAGAGAAAAGGAACATCTAAATGAAAAAATAAAATGTTCAGAGGAAGAGAAAGATTCAAGGGAAAAAATAACAGATTTAGAAATCAAAGAAAAATATATAAAGGATAACGAAAAAGAATGTTTAAATAAAATGGAAAAAGATTTAAAAGAAGTGGAAAATTTAAAGGAAGAAGTAAAAGATTTAGGAAAAGTCGAAAAAGAATTAAAACAAAAAAAAAAAAAATCAAAAGAAAAAGATTCAAAGGAAAGAACAACTTCAGAAGAAAAAGAAGATTTAAATAAAAAAAAAAAAGATTCAAAAAAAGAAAGAAATTTAGAAGAAGTAAAGGAAGATTTAGATGAAAAAAAAAAAGATTTAAAGGAAAGAGCAACTTTAGAAGTAAAGGAGGATTTGAATGAAAAAAAAAAAGATTTAAAGGAAAGAACAACTTCAGAAATAAAGGAAGATTTAGATGAAAAAAAAAAAGATTTAAAGGAAAGAACAACTTCAGAAATAAAGGAGGATTTGGATGAAAAAAAAAAAGATTCAAAAAAAGAAAGAAATTTAGAAGAAGTAGGAGATTTAGTTAAAAAAAAAAATAAGAAAGACGAAGAAAAAAATTTAGAAGAAAAAGATTATTTAGATAAAAAAAAAGAAGATTTAAAGGAAAAAAAAAAAACAAATGAAAAAATACTAAAAAGGGAAAGCCGTGATGATAGTAATGAACTAAAAATAAAGCTTAAAAGTATTAAATCTTTAAGAAATTTAAATTCAAATAAATACTCTATAAAAAGTAACTTACAAGGGTATTCAAATAAAGGAAAACTATTAAAAAATGAGAACTTTCCTAATTTAGAAAAAAAAATAGAAAATAATAAGAATATTTCTGTAGGTATAGAAAAAGAGGGAAACAATAAAATTTTAGATGAAACATATTTAGAATCAAAAATAAGTGATCAAAAAAATAAATCTATGTTTTTAGAAAAACCTTCAGTAAAATTCACAAAAAACAAGCCTAGTAGCATTTTACAGAAATTACTAGATTCTGATTTATCTGATTTTGATTCTTCTAGTAAAAAAATGACAGCTGAAGAAATTGCAAAACACACAAATGCTTCACTTCAAATATCTGTGAAGAGGAAAGCTTCATTATCTTCCATAAAGGTTAAATCAAAACTAATGCCAAAACCAAAACCATTATTTAATTTATAATGATAATAAAAAAATATGATATCTTTGAACTTTTTTTTTTTAATAAGAATATTAATCTTTTTTTAAAATTGAGATTTTTCATTTTAAACTAAAAATATGGAATATACTAATTTTTGTATTAACTCCTATTCTTCTAGTTTAATTCGTTTTAATTTTATTTATTTTTCTCTTATTAAATATATATAGATTTTCTAATATATTTAAGTATTAAAATATTCATAGTAATTGTGTATTTTTTAAAATTATATAATTCATTTGTTTATTGATTTTTTTTTTTTTTTTTAATCATGGATATTTTACACTTTACAACATTTATAATAGAAAAATTCATAAATTTAAATTTGAAAAAAATATATTAATAAATTCCAATAAGTCAATGTTATAATCTCCAAGAATATTTAAATTACTAGGTAAAATCAAATTTTTAATTAGCGGCATATATATATATATATACTTATCTTTTATGAATATTAACTTATTATGATGTTTAATATAATAAAAATTATTTCAATTTTTTGAACTTTAATAGATTTCTTTTTAAATAATAAGTGTGGAATAAAAAAGTTATTTTAAATATATCAATATATTGTAATAAATAATATATTTAACATTTATTTTCATTATTCATAGTTCATATAATAAAAATTAATTCCAAATAAAAAAGTATAAATTTATTTCAAAAATTTTAAAAATAGAAATGTCGTTGAGGCTAAAATTATGCCAAATATATCTGTAAAAGAAGAAGATAGTCCAAAAAATATTTTTTGAGATTTATTATTTATTTCATTAATATTTTTTAAAGCTTCTTTTTTTAGATTTATTATTCTTTTATTAGAAAACATATTTTCCTTTTTTCCTTTCTGAATGATAGAATCACATGCATTAATGATTAAAAAGTTCTTTAATATATTTAAAACTTTGTTTTCGTTTTTTTGGATAAGGTTACTGTTATAATAATTTTCTTTATTTTTATTGTTCATATCATTTTTTTGTTTTATGACATTGTCATCTGTAATATTAATAACTTTATTACTTGGTGAATTTTTTTCTGATTTATTTTCTAAAATTGTGTCTTTATTCTGCAACAGGATATTTTCGTTAATATTTGCATCATTTTCCTTTGATTCTTCTATAAAATTATATTTTTTAATTTTATATAATGATAAAAGCCCATAAAAACTTGAAAATAGATAAGGTACTATTAATATAGAACAATGCACAGGTATATTTTTCCAAATAGAAGAATTTTTGAAGCACAATGAGCATAAAGCACATATAAAGGCCATTGAACCTGAGGGATGTATAAGTACAAAATCTATAAAATTTAATGATTCTACTTTCTTGATATATTTAAAAAAATAAAAACTAACAAGAATGGAAAGTAAGGAACCAGTTAAAAATAATGCCAGAAATCTTATAGAACCATATTGCTTTTCAAGAAATCGAGAAGCTAAAAAAAATGTGGATAATTGAACGGAACATTGCAATATATTTTCATTTGTAAAAAATTGTGATGTTAAATATTTTATGTCAAATATATCACTTTTATTTATATTTTTTTTATTTGATTCAGAGTTATATATGATAAAATAGTTATCTAAGTAATCTAATATTTTGTCTATTTGTAATAAAATATTTTCTTCAGTATCGCAATTCCTTAAGTTGTATATCAAAATTTTAAGGAAAGTTGAAACACCTACCATCCCTAAAACGATACATATAGTTCCATATGGAAATGAAGTGCTTTCTGGGTAATATAGGAATTTTTTTGATGTTTGATCTTCACAATATTCTTTTTTTTTTTTATTTGACTCTTTGCTCCATTTATAATTCTTAGAATATGCTATATGCATTTCCCCTTTCTTACGATAATAAATATTTTTGAATTTATTTAATTTATCTTTTTTTAAATAACCATAATTATTTAATGAAAAGTTACAAAAAAGCTTACATTTTAACTTTGAAAAATTCCGTATTAAAATATTTTCAGGTAAATAATTATTTAATAAATATTTTTTCTTTAAAGGATAATTCATTTTTAGCTTGTCACCTTATGAATGATTTTGAAATTTTTCCAACTTTTTTTTTAAACATCACATGAATTCGAAATGATAAAATATTTTTAAAAAATTTAATATAAATAAATTAGAGCATTTTATTTATTAATTACCAAAAATACATAATATTAAAAAGAAAGGAATTTTCTTATATATATATTTTTTTTTTTAATTACATTTTTAACATTTTTCAGATAAGTTAATATTTATTTTTATCATTATATCATATCAAATAAAAAAAAAAAAAATAAAAATAGAAAATAATGGAAAGAAAAAAAAAGGATAGATTAAATTGAAAAATAAAAAAGAGAAAGGAAGAGATCCATATAATATATATATATTTATATAACAAAGATGAAATTTTATAAATTGTTAAGAAATGTTAGATTTTATCATGACAAAATAAAGTAGACCTTTAAAATATAAAATATTAATAAGATATAGTTGTTTTCCTATAATATTTTTTTAACTTTAAAAATTGAATGAAATATATAGTAAAACATAATGTAAAAAATAAAACAAATTAGTGTGCTGTAAAAAAAAAATAAAAAAATAAAGGTAATAATAAAATTAATGAACATTAATAAAATAAAGGAAATTTAATATTTTCTATTCATCAATACTTAAAAATAATACTATATGATGTCAAAAAAAAAAAGTTTTAATGAATTAATAAGTAAAAAAGAAAAACAAATATTTACAAACTTTTTTAAAAGAATATATACTTTAATTTTCTTTTTAATAGAATACTACTTATATGTTAATAAATAAACTTATTTTAAATGAATTTGTTAAATTAGCAATGATCTTAATATTTTTATATTATTTCTGATATATGGAATTACACCAAAGGATCATCTTCTTTACTGTTGGAATTTTCAAATGAAGAAAATTCATTGAAACTTTGAGTATTTACTGTAATTTTTTTACCCATTTTTTCATTTTTTAAATGCTTTGCAACATTAACTACACATGTAGAAGGTTTGTATATAGCTTCTTTTATCCATGCTCTGCAAAAAGAAAGAAAATACATGATTTTGTATTAATTATAATTTTGTTTTATTTTCTTTATTAATATTATTATAATTGCGTATGAATTATTTCTCTAAAATATTATCATTAAGGTTTTATTCTGTTTTATTTAATTCATTAGTTTAATTTTTATTTTTATTCGTCGTTCTTATAAAAAATGCCATTTTTTCTTTTGTATTATATTACTTTTGGCAAAATAATAAATTAAAATTTTTTTCCATATTTATTTTATAATATACTTTTTTTTTTAAATTTATTTTTCATTACTTAAAATCAGATTCTTTTAGTTTTGAATAATAATGATTATCTTCTACTACTTCTAATCTTCCCTTCCCTAGAGGAACTGTAGATATCAATTCTTCGCAAACGTTCACTGGTGTTACCATGTCATTAGATCCATTAACTATTATAACATATGGAAATGTAGATAAGTCAGGTTCTAAGTTATGAGTGAATTTTTGAAAAGTTTTAACAGAGGGAGATATAAGAACCTTAAAATAAGTTATAAAAAATGAAAAAACATAAATAAAAATTATTTATTCTTATAAAAAAAATTATTTTTGTTTTATTAAAGTTTTATTTATTATTATACTAAAGATTTTTTTCCATTTTTATAGTTAAGATTCATAGCTACTACAGCTCCAAAATAAATTCCAACAACAACATCTGGGTTATACATTTGCACTTTTTGTTCTGCTTGTTTAATTGATTTTTTCATAATATAATATAGAATTAAGTGGGATCCAATAAAATATATAATTATAGTTATAATTACCTACACATAATAATATTTAATATATGCAAAATTTATTTAAAAGTATTGTTATATGTTTAGAAGTTCAAAATATTCACATTTATTATGATTATTTTATTTCTTTTCCTTTTTTTTTTTTTTTTTTTTACCGATAAGGCTATTGTTATAACAAATATTGAAGTCACAGAAAAACGGTAAGATACATAAATGTTAAATAACATAACACATATTATAAATATAAGGAAAAATATAAATGAACTAATGCTACGCCTTTGATTTATTCCTGTTGTTATTAAATTTTTTTTTCCAACAACTTTTTCAATTAATTTTTGTTTCTTGCTTTCTCCAAAAACGTGAAACCTATTAAGAGAATATAGAAAATAATATATTGTATTTTTAATTATATGTAATAAATGATATATTTTTATAAGGTCACATAATTTTTAATTCCAAGTAATGAAAGAAAAAAAGAATTTTGAAAAAATATATTCTTTAATGGAATATAAAAGATGAAAAAATAGTATGTAAAATAATTGCTGTTTTATATATGTTATAGATTAAATATCATTACGTTATAACATAAATATTTATACAAATACATATTTTTATTTAAAAAAAAAAAAAAGTATATTATAATTTAAAATACATAAAGTTGAAGACAGAAAATACTCAATGTTTATTATAAAAGTGAAAAAAATATAACATAAATTATATATAAGAATAATTAAAAAAAATTTTTTATTTATAATAATAAACTTAGCTTAATTTTAATTTTATTACCCATGAATGTATAATATCTTTACATTTTCTTTCATTTTAAATGAAAAAAATATTAAAAATCTATGTCTATGACAATATTTTAAAGTTTGAAAAAAAAAGAAAAGAAAAAATAGGATTGGAAAGACAATATATGTATCAATTTTTTCCTTTTAGTATCCATTAAAATAAAAGCTTCTTTTTTAATTAATGAGATAATAATTAGCTTAAATATGGAAAAATATACATCTCAAAAGATAAATACATAAAAACATTTGGTAAAGAAAAATAATGCACTATTTAATATAATATATTTTAATTCAAATTTTATAATATAAAGAAAAATTTATACATATTATAAGCTTTTTTTTTTTTTTTCCATAAATGAAAAATATAACCCATTAATTAATAATCAAATAAATACAGAAAACAAGAGTTACAAAAATTAAACTTTTGTTAAGTTAGTGCAATACAATAACTGTTGTGTTATTTTCTTTTTTTCAATATGTAAAAAAAGAAATTCTGGTGGAATTTTTTTTTTATATTAAAATTATAAGAATAATGAACTAGAAGAATGAGTTAAAATTCATTAATATTTTTATGTAGGTAATATAAAAAGAAAATTTTTATTATAATTATTATTAGCTTACAAAAAATTATTCATTCATTTTTATTTCAATGTATTATTTATTTTAATTTTTTTTCACTTTTATTCTATTTTTATTATGAACGTTAATAAAAAATTAAAAATATATTTTTTTTTTTTATTTTATATTCATAAAAAAAAAAAAAAGACATTTGAATATTTAAGTTTTAAGCTGTGATACTATATTTTCTTAACTTTTTTGGAGAATGAGCATATATGAAAAGATAAGGAAACAAAAAAAAAAAGTTAGAAGATAACATATTTCACTATTATTTAGTGTTTTGCAATGAATTATGTAGATCATGTAAGGTTATTTAATATATATTTTATTTCATATTTAACTAAATATAATAATTTTTTTTTATATTATATACATATTTGCACATTTAAGTATAAAATATTGTTAAATTTACTAATTAATTTAAAATGGTGCATCCTACACATAGGATTTATTAAATCAGTACAAAATAAATAGATGTTGAATAAGGTGAATATATTCTAAAATTGTACGTAATTTTTTTTTTTTTTTTTTATTGTAAAAATATTTATTAATTAATATGTTGATAAACTAAAGAGGTAATTTTTGAATGGGATTCATTATTAATACAATATTTAAAATTAAAAATATTTAAATTATACATAAAATAAATATTATTTTTAATGATACAGAAATAAAAGGTATTTTGTTGAAATAAATATATTTAAAATAGAAACTTGTCTTTTAAGAAAAAATTTTAATTTTAATGGAATTTTTTTAATTAGAATGATTTTTAATTTATTTGAATTATTTATAAATAATGAAAGTTGCATCACTCATCATAGAAGTGGGTATATTATAATATAAAGGAAAAGTAAAAAAAATATATAAATTCAAAGAAAAAAATAAAATATATTAATTATAATTTTATCTATATATAAATTATTTAAATGAATTCAATGAAAAAATATGAACATTTTTCTCACTGATAATCATTAAAAATTATTTAGAAGCATTTTCACTGAATAGGGTGTAAGTAACTGTGTAACTTTATATTTATATGTTTATTTATTTAATTTTAATTTTTTTTTTTTTGCATGCTTAAAAGGATTATATGAAAGAAAGAATAAGATTTCATTAAAAAAATAAAAGCCAAAAAATTTAAAAGTTAATGAATTATAAGAAGATATATTTCTATTAGGGATTAATGTTATTCTTTTGTTTATTTAATTTATCAAGAAAAGCTTAAAATAGATATGTAGAACTTGCACATTCAATTTAGTACTTTTGCTTAATTTTTTTTAATTTGAAATTTTTTTTATAAAAATTAAAACACATTTTTTTATTTAAAATTTTTTTACTTCTATGTTAACGATAAATCATATGATTATTAAAAAAATAATTTTATTTCTTGGTATAATAAATAAAAGAGAAAATAACTCAATTATGTACAGTTAATAGCAAGCTAAACTTCTAGAATAATGCAAAAAAAATTTCATTTGTTTTAAAATTATATGCATTTAAAAAATATTGTATATTTTCTATAATTACAAGAGGTTTATATTTATTTGCAAAAATATATTGTATAACAATATTATTTATAAGTTTCCTTTTTTTCAGTGAATAAAAAATTAGAAGGATATTCAAGATTATAAGATTTCATAAAAATTGATTATTTTCTATAAGCATTGCAAACAAAAATGTGTATGAAAGATAAAAAAATGTGTATTAAAGCTAAAAAAAAATGTGTATTAAAGCTAAAAAAAATGTGTATTAAAGCTAAAAAAATGTGTAAGAATGAGAATAAATAAAATAAAGTAGAACATGAAACAGATTAAGTAAAAAATCCTTAATTTTATTATTTCTCGAAATACTTAAAATAAAAGGAAGCGTTTTTTATTTAATCAGTTTTTAAATAAACATTATATATTTTTAAATGAATCAAAATTGTTTTATGTGTTGAAGTGTTGTCTACTTTTTGCATGCAGAAGAGTATAAAGTACAAAAATACCTGAAAACGTGAAATGAGATAAAGAAAAAAGCTTGAGAACGAAAAATTAAAAGATAAAATTTTAAAGTAAAACCGCCAGCAATTTACGCTATTTTTTTTTTTTTTTTATTAATTACATAAAAAAATTTTAATAGTTTTTACATGGAATAAAAAATTTAAATGCTTTCCTTATATATTGATTTTGAAATATTTTAAGGATTTATTTGTATTTTATTTTATTTCATTTTATATATTTGTTTTGGAAAATGTTTTTGTAACATACAACTGTTTATCATTTACACATTAACAACTCCATAAATATGTAAATAATTCTTTAATAGAAAAAAATAATTTTGCTTTTTTAGAGCATTTATAACTGATTCAATTATATTAGTTTTCTTTTTTTTTTTTTTTTTTAACCTCGATTTTTTATTTCAATTATTATTAATTTTGGCAATTTTTTTTTTTTTTTCCAATATTTATGTTTTATTTTTATAATATTAATAGATATGCCATAAAATAAAAATTTGTTTTAATATTTTTACTATAAAATTTACTACTGTAGTTTTGAAGGATTTTTATGTTATTTTGAAACTTTCTTTTTTTTAAAGACATATTAAAATGAGTAATATTTGAATAAGAATAAAAAAAAAGAAAAAAATATTCAATTGATATTTATTAATTTCTGTAGAAAAATATGCAATCATTAAAAATTCTATATCTTCATATATATGAAAATGCTAAAACGAAAAAAATCAGAAAGATGCTAGAGAAAATTTATGGGAAGGATAATGTATTATCTTCTAAAAATAAATCAAGGACACTAGATGTTTTAATTTTAATTTTCGTATATATTTTATGTATATTTTGTATAAGTATTTCATTTTACTTTTTATATGCATCAAAAATGTATATGTTAGTTATTCCATGTATTTTTATTATGATTATGATTTTTTTAATTGGATCAATAGTAATTTATGAAGTTGTATATCAAAGAAGCTTAGTTGAAGCTAACCTTTTATTTAAAAAATTTAAACCTAATGTAATTGTTGCTTTTCAGTTTGGATGCATTTTAGCTATGAATCTTGATCCTCCACAAGTTCCAATGGTAATATATATATATATATATATATATAATAAAATAAACTGGATACTAAGAATAACTAAAATGATGTAAAATATTTTTTCTATGAACAAGAATAATACAAAATAAATAAGAAATATTTAAAATTTAATATATACATCATAAATTTTTCTTATTTTTTCTATTATTTTTTTAACTTTTTTTTCTTTAATTGTTTAGCTGTTAATATCCCCAGTTCAAGAAAATTTATTTTCAACTAAAATGAGAAAGAAAATAAATATAAAAGATTATCCATATATAATATTTGTTCATTCAACAAATGATAAAAAACGCAGTTTGAATAAAACTTTAGAATTAGTTAAATCAGTAGATAAACAAAAATATAGAGTTGAAATAGTAGATGGGGGTTATAACTTAGAATTATTAAGCGCTTCAGATTATAAAGGTTGGATAGATGAAATTTATGCAGAGGAAAGGGTAAATGCAAAATTAATATCGGAAAATATTAGTGACACTGATGATGGCTCTTTTAAAAATTATATATAGTTTTGTGTTTATATTTTGTAATTAAAATTTTATTTTATTTTGAAAAGTAAAATGAGATTTTAATAAGGAAAGTAGTATTGTTAAAGATAATGAATATTTAAATGTATATTTTATTTTATTTATTATTTGTTATTTTTTTTTTTTTTTAAATGCATTTTGTTAAATTTTATGTATATAAGTTACAATTTAAGCTTAAAAAATACGCTACTCTTAAGTGTAAGGCATTTATTTAAATTACTTTATTTTTTTAATATAACATTTCTATTATAATTAAAAAAAATATTGTCTAAGATATTTTATTTACTTGGTGGTATCTCGAAAATATTACACGAAAAAAGAAGATAATTTTAAATATAAAGTATAATTTAATAATTTATTGCTATTTTTATTTTAGAAACTCTTATTAAATGATAAAAAAAAAAAAAATTTTAATTTTTCAATATGTTGTGTATTTTTTCATTTATTATAAAAACTTTATATATTTAAATAATTACTTTTTAATTTTTAATAAAAATGTTAATATATAGATTAGGTCAACTTTTTATATAATTTATATATTCATCAGTTATAAATGTATTTTAATAAAAAAAGTTTAATTTATTATTTATTTTTTTTTTTTAACGAAAAAATATACAACAAAATTTATTAAAAAATCAAATATAAAAGAATTACGAAAAAAAATGAAATAAATAATTTAATGAAAAATATCAATAAAACAAATTTTATGTATTTTTTTCTATGTATTTTGGCAATATATAATAGTAGGTAAAAGAAAAAGTATATTTGTGTATTTAAAGAATTAATTAAGGAATAACTTTTAGTTATACATATAAAATTTTTTATTTATCTAATATTATAGTTTTTGTTAAATGGAACAAATTATATAGTTTTAAACTTAATGATATAATTTAATATTATTCATGAAGGAATATAAATAAAAATAGTATATGAATATACTTTATCAAAATTTTATTATTTATTTTGTAATATTTCTTAATATAAAATAATAATTTATAGTTTCTTGAAATGCTGTAAGATTTATTTAAATTTTTTAATTTTTGTAAGAGTGACATACAAAAAAAAGAAAAAAAAAAAAAAAAATTTACAATAATTAAAAAAGTTTTCTTTTTTTTTTCCATAAAGTCTTCTGATAAATGCTATTTCAAGCAACCCCAAAAGAATTACAAGCAAATTAAAATATTTTTATATTTAAGAGCATTTATTTCTTTACATATATTAATTTTTATTTGATTTTTTTGTTTAAGTAGTTGTTTTATTTAATATATATTTATTTTTATATTTTTTTTTATTTCAATTTTTTTTTGATGGTATATATATTTTCCTTTTTATTTTAGCATTTGTTTTATTTTATTGTTTATATTTAATTTTTTTTTTCAGTAAAATAATTTTTCAATTTACATAATTTTTTTTGAAAAAATTTTTATTTATTCTTTAATTTTTGAAGTATAATATTATTAAGATATGGTTGAAATAAGATTAAAAACAAAAAATTCAAGTTGTGAATTTAATCTTGATTTTAGTGAAGTTAAAATACCGGACGATATAAATATATTAAAAGATTTAGAAAAGGAAATTGAAAATTCAATTTATCATCTAAAAAGGTCGAATGAAGAAATAAAAGAATTTGACCCACTTGGAAAAGATAATGACCTTTTTTTGGCATTAAATGAAAATAAATTTGCTTTAAGTAGAAAAGAAGAAAGATTACAATTAATTAAAAAGAAAATACATAACTTAGAAAGTTTAAATTTATTAAATGAAGTGAGTGTATGCAATGATCCGTTAACTAATAAAGATAAAAAGTTAGAAATTGGGATTTTAAATGAAAATGATAATTCAAAAGATGAAAATAATGATTCTTCAATAAAAAATATCTTGAGTGATAATTTAAATGATGAGAATTTATATTATGATAATAGTAATCAAAATTATTTATGTAACAAAAATTTGAGTGGGACAATTAAAGATGAAAGTGAAACACATTCTGAAAAGAACACAAATGCTCTAGATGAAAATGGTATTTATTTATAGAAAATTTAATAATGTACTTTATTTAATTTATTCATTATCCTTATTTATAAATCCTTTTAAATTAAAATTTACATTCTCTTATTAAGTCTATTAAAGTTATATCGTTTCTCATATTCTCTTAAAATATTATTTTAAAAATTTTTTTAAGTGTACAATCTTAAATTTACTAAAGCCTTTTTTTAAGTTTCACATCAAACTTATTTCAAATTAATTTTCCATATTAAGACAATTTATTTTTTCTTTTGTTAAAAATAATAATAAAATGTTTTAAATGATTAATAAAATTAGTTATTAATATCTCTGTAATTAATACATCACATTTTAATCCTCTGATATGTTTTATTTTATTTTATTTTATTTTTTTTTAATTTTCCTTTTCTCTTTTTTTTTTTTTTTTATATTGTATTCTTTAATAATTGATTCAAAGATATCTTTATATGAATATTATATTTTTTATAAAAAAGTTTTAGAAATATTTAAAATTTTATTATTTAAAACATAACATCAAAGAACATAGTTAAAAATGTATATGATATGTAACATTGTAAAAAAAAGTATAATACTTCAAAAGCTAAAACAAAAGAAAAGAAAAAAGCAAAAATACCACTTGTCATTGTAGCTAATATTAGTTTCATTAATTCTCCAAAAACACAAAAAGCCATAAGTGGTCTAACTGCCTAAAAAAAAAAAAAAAAAAAAAAAAAAGAATAAATAATATATTAAAATAAATAAAAAAAAAAAAATACATATATATGTAAAAATAAATTTACAAATATTATAATCAACCTGAAATGTAGTTCTTGCCATATAAATAAAAAAAAATCTATAACTAAGAACATATTTTATAGCAAATTTAGTCATATCAAAAATGTTAAAATAATGATTAATAGATGGTAAACTTTTTATTAAGTTTAAGGGTGTTATATCTTCTTTTAATCTGTCATTATAACTTTTATACATAACATTTTTATCATTGTTGTTAGTGATTTTTTTCTCGATTTTATTTGTTGAAACACATCTTTTAGATAAACAGCTGAAAACCTAATTAAAAATAGAAAAAGAAAATAGAAAAATTCATATAACTAAATATAAGTTTTCGTATTTTTTAATTTCTCAAAAAAAAATATTTTTTTTTTACAGGTGGATAGCTCTTAAATAAGTTCAAAGAATAAAAATTATTCTTCCATATATAAGGACTAATCCTATCATTCAAAAAGAATAAAAAAAAAAAAAAAAAAAAAAGAATTATATAGATATATTAAAAAAAATTGTTATTATTTTAAATACCCTTCAGTTATTTTTCCAAAGAATTTTTTACTCATTTTATTAAATAGCTTTCTTTAATTTCTTTTTTTTTTATTAATAAAAGAATCATATTAAAAAAAATAAATAAAATAAAATAAATAAAATAAAATAAATAAAATAAATATATAATTAAAAAAAAAAAAAAAATAATATAAAGAAAAAGAAATGGAATTAAAAAATGAATTATTTTTAAAAATATATGTATATAATTTATTTTGCAATAGAAAAATATTTTTTTATTTAAATATATGCACACTTAATAACAAATTATCGAAAAAAAATAATAAAAGAATTAAAAAAAACAATAAAAAAATTGAAATGTAATAAAAAAATTGTAATAAGATAAATTGAAAAAAATATTTGAAATAAAAGAAAAAGTAATGATACAAAAATAGTAACTCACTAATGAAAAAAACAATTTTAGCAAATCTACGTACATTTTTATCACATCTAAAATGAGTTACTAATAACACAAAATAGTATATTATTAAAATGTAAGCATTATAAATAAAAAATTAACCCTTGTTACTTCTTACAAAATTAAGGAAATTGGAAAAAAGTTCAAAAAATAAAAAATATTCAATTAGTATATACACTTATTCTACAAGGACAATGTTTTCGTTAAATCAAAAAAAAAAAAAAAAAAAAAAAAAGAAAAAGTCTTTTTAGAAAAGTTAAAAAGTATTATTAATATTTTAATTAATTTTTTTCATTTATTTTTTTTCAAGCCAATTTTTTTTTATTCTATGATTCCTTCTTTTTGCTATCATTTATATACAGGAACTCCAAATAGAATATTATATAATTCTATATATATATATTTTTTTTTTTTGTAAAAAATTTCATTAACAAAACCAATTATATTTCTTCTTTTTAAATATATTTGTACGTAGATATTAATTAAAATGAATAAATATGAAAAAATAAGAGATATAGGAAAGGGAAATTATGGGAATACAGTACTTGTTAGAGATAAAAAAAATGACCAGTAATTTTAAATTTTACAATAAAAAAAAAAAAAAAAAAAATTAAATAAAAATAAATGAAATATATATTTTTTATTCTAAAGTTATGTAATGAAGATAATAAATATTTCTCAAATGTCTCAAAAAGAAAAAAAGCAATGTTTAAAAGAAGTTGAAGTATTTCAAATAAAAAAATAATATAAAATAAAAAATTTTTAAGATACATATTAACAAATAATATTTTTTATTTTTTACTGTTTTGTATATCTTTTAGTTATTATCAAAATTAAATCACCCTTTTATAGTCAAATATATTGAAAGTTATATAGAAGGTGATACTCTTAGAATAATTATGAAACATTGTAAAGGTAAAAAAAGATAGAAACTAAAATATTGTATCAATTAGTAAACATTAAAAAAAAAAAAAAAAAAAAAATAAAGTAAAAAATGCACTTTTCATTTTAACTTTATAATAACATTTAAAGGTGGGGACCTTTATCATTACATTCAAAATAAAAAGAAACAAAATACACCTATAAAAGAAAAACGTATACTTATTTGGCTAACTCAAATTTTAACTGCTCTAAAATTTCTTCATTCAAATCATATTTTACATAGAGGTTAGTCATTTTTTTCATGCCAAATAAAAAAAAAAGGAAAAAAGGAAAAAGCATATTTTTTTTTTTTTTTTTTTGTGTGTTGTATAAATTAATAAAAAAAAAAAAAAAATATATTTTTTTTTTAACAGATATGAAATCATTAAATATTTTGATAGATAGTGATAAGAGAGTTAGGTTATGTGATTTTGGGATCTCAAAGGTTTTAGAAAATACTTTAGATTATGCTAATACCTTAATAGGTACTCCATATTATTTAAGTCCAGAATTATGTAAAGACAAAAAATATAGCTGGCCTTCAGATGTTTGGGCTACTGGTTGTTTAATTTATGAGCTAGCCACATTTAGAACTCCTTTTCATTCAACAAAAGGAATTCAGCAATTATGCTACAACATAAGATATGCACCAGTATAAATATACATGAATGTATATATATTATTTTCATATAATTTGTTATACATATTCTTATTGATTCCTTTAATCTCTATAATTTTTTGTTACGTATATCTTATTTTCTTTAGATACCTGATTTGCCACATATATATTCAAAAGAACTAAACAATATTTATAAAAGTATGTTAGTTAGAGAGCCAAATTACAGAGCTACTGTCCAACAATTGTTGGTGTCAGATCTTGTTCAAGTAAATATATAAAACATATAGAAATATTAACAAAAAAATTTTCTCTAATATATAAAAAGAAAAATGTATAGATAAAATAAATATATGTTAATAAAATATATACTTATAAGTGAATTGATTAATTTTAAAAGACAAAATGTGTGCTCATAATAAATGATATATTTTTATATAAAAAAATATGTACCATTTTTTAAAAAATTATTGAATTTATTTAGAGGCAGTTAAAATTATTGATTGAAGAAAAAATACGAGAAAAACAAACTATGAAAAAACCCTTAAAAGAGAAGCCAACTATTGAAAATGACAATTCAGGAGTAAACGAACAAGAAGTTAAAACACTACTATTGGACGTTATTGATAATTAAAATTCTAGTTATTAAAAATATATATATATATATAAATGAATTATATAATACCATATATTTTTTATTTATACATAGAAAAACGTTTATCTTATGTACAGTTGAAAATAATACATAAATCATTTAACATATCCATTAATAAAATTCCAGAATTGATTTATTGAAAGTGTTCTTAAAAAAATTTTTTTGTTTATTTTTTCTATATATGATAAAATGAGTAAAATGAGTAAAATGTATATATATTTTATGAATAATTTAAGAGATTAACTAATTTTATTCTAAATATACTTAATAGCCTAAATATATATATATACAAATGAAATTATTTTTTCATTTAATGGATTCGCTTTTGAAAAAATCTTTTATTATACTCATTATTATATTTATTTTTTATTATTTATATATTTTTTTTTTTTATTATGTTTGTTTTCATTATATTTTTTTTTTAAATGTCATTTTAAATTTTTATCCTTTATAAAAATACAGAAATATGTTTATGTATATAAATATATCCTTGAATTTTTTTTAAGATAAATTTTGGAATAACAAAATTATTTTCATTTAATTATAAAATATTTCAAATCGTTTCATTATACATATATATATTTATATATGTATAAACTGGATGATTTTTTATTCTTTTTATTTTGTAATATTTTTTCTTAATAAAATAATTTCTAATTTACCTTTTTTTTTTTTTATTTTGTTAAGAAGAAAATTCATGAAAGTAATACACATAAAACATTATTTCAAAAAAGATATGATGATTATTTTTTTTTAAATATAAGAAAAACAATTTCCACAAATATTTTAAAAATACATTTCTATTTAATTAATGCATATTTTTTTACATATAATAATAATTCTTTTTTTTTTTTTATATTAATGTAGAGTTATTTGTTCGAATTATTACTTTTTTTTTTTTTTTTTTAATAATATTAATGAAAAATATGAGTTTTTAAAATTGCTATTTTTTATGTATACAATTTTTTATATATTGTGTTTTTTAATGGTGTTACGATGACAAAGTTTAAATTAGCATATGTTATGAGTTTATATATTTTATTTAAATAAAAAAAAGTTAAAAAAAAAAAAACTTTCTCCTTACAAGAAAATGATATATTTTTTAATATTATAATTTATTTTATTTTATTTTATTTTTTTTTTTTATGTTTATATTTTAAATATATTTCTTCTAAATGTAAATATATTAATAAAAAATGCATAAGCATTTAAGTAGAATTTATCCGATTATGTTCCATATTTACCATTAAAAATACAAATTTTTTTTACGTCAATTTTTACAATTAAATATATAAGGTTAATTAATGTTATATATATATATAGTTTTTTAAAAAGTGAATACAAACAAAAAATAAAAAACCAAATTTTAAAAAAAATGGGCACATAAAATTTATAGTAGTTTTTTGTACCACAATATTAAAAAGTATTAAGTATGTTTATCTATAATAATAGGAAACTAAGAACTTTTATAATTTTCTTTTTTTTCTTTCTCTTTTTTTTTTTTTTTTTTTTTTTTTTTTTTTTTTAATTTAATCATTTGTAAATTATTTTAATAGTAGAGAAGCTAATTTTGATACAAAAAATTAACTATTTATTTAATATTAAAAGGGAAAAATATATAAAATGATAAAGAGAATAATTTGTTTTTTTTTAAATATATTGTAATAATAAAGCAAAATAAAATTAAATTTTATTAATTGCAGGAAAAGAAATGTAATAAATATCAAAGAAAAAAATAGAAAAAAACAAAATATAGGCTGTACGAGTTTTTTTTTTTTTTTTTTTTTTTTTTTTT